GGGTTAACAGGAAATGCGTTTTTCTAAGGTACATAAACTTTTGGGATTGACTGTATAGCCAATACATCCTTAAATAACGTATATTGAGAGAAAGTTTGATAAACGATCGCAAGTAAATAAAATTGACATTTATAATCTGTTAAGTGTTCTCGCTAGTAGCAATGTGAAGAACGAAGTCTGTTCGACGGAATGATCTCGCATTAAAGAGGATTTATGCCAAAGGTATTCAACACGTTTCCTACGGCCGAGCAACTGTACAGTTTATAAATTACAAAACGTCATTATTAAAAGACTGGATACAACGCGCGTTTTATCACTGTCCTAGTCAGGATTACACGAAACATGTCATTAGCCTGTCCGTCTGTATTACAAGATAAGAATGTTAATCTACGTCGCTTAATGTACGAAGGAACGGAATCCTTTTTCTAAGTTCAAGACACCTTTTCGCAATTTGAAGAAGCTTGAAAGTTATTCATCTTCTTCATCAAAGACGCTAACGACTCGACGGACGAGTGAAAAATGCATTCTTTCATTTCCATTACACTGTAAATTCCTCGATACTCATTACGCGACGAAAGCTGGCGAGAGGGAAGGAATCTCGCGAATTCGGCGGCACGCTCGTCGCGTGGGACGTCGCGCATTGTCCCGTGACATCACGGAATCAATACGACGCACGGTCCGAGCTTACGTCATGGATGACACCCTCGCCGCTTGCCAAGTCTAACTGTTCAAAACCAGAATATCGGGTCGTATCATATAGGCCGAACTCGCGTGACTAACATAATTTATCATAAACACATCGTTGCTTAGAGCAGGCAGATAGAAACGAGATTGCTTCTTTTCTTCAATCTCATTTTATGTAGTCATAGATTTTTGGTAAGAACAATTATTAGAATCATGAATCAATCCTCGTAGTTACATTTAAGAATTAAAACAGTGATGCTTGTTGCTCGATTATTTGATGATTTATCTTAAACGTTTTAAATCTTCGAAAAGTTTGATAATAATGGGGGGATGAAAGTGGGCTCATAGCATGGCAAGCAACAAGTGTATACTTTACTTGTTGAATTCTTGAGAAGATAAATTTCTCCATATCTATGTTAAGACGGTTTAATCTTAGTTTTGAGCAAAGAAATTTAAAGTTCATGTATTTTGTTCTTCAGGATGATTATTTATTAACTTCATCTTAACTATCGATGATACAGTATGTAATTAGAAATGAAAACAGCTTGAGGCTTCAAGAGACCTTTACGTGAATCGCATAGTAACCAGATAGTTACCGCCATTCTTCCCCGACCTGGTAATTTTCTAATTTGCGGTAAAGCTCGTGACCAAGTCCAGACGGGTCGTTTATGGAATCACGTCCTCGTTTCTGGAAATATTTTACTCGATCACGAACGAAAGACTCCGGATGGCCTCGTTAGAGGGAATCAAAGGGTACATCCCCTTTAGAAGAAGTCCACGTGGACGAAGTTCCATAAAACACTGCGTTTAAATTGTTTCTGTGATTATTGTTAATAATATTAATTGACAGGATTTTGTTCCCCAATTTGCGCAGGTATCGTCTAAAGACACGCAATCATTTCACGATATTGATCGATTAATGCGATTCAGCAAGATGCATCAAGGATTATACTTCGAAACCATTTGACCCAGATACCTAGTTAAAATCTGCAACGAGGTCACCTCGTGGATTTAAAAAATTTTACTTCTAACTTGCAAGAAATTGTTCTACGAGTTTTATTAAATCGAACGCAGTAGTGTCAGTTAGACTGTGGAACATTAATTCTAGAAACTTGCCAAGATAATGCTAACAATCAGTCGAACCAATTGTGATAATTCTGGGACAAAGACTAATGAACCATATCGCAAGGTATTATCATCGAAGAGGGAAGAGTGCGAAGAAAAAAATTCGGTCATAAATTCTACTACCGCTAATGATAATTTATATCCACAATGTGTAAACAAAGAGGGAATAAGGAATTCTTATATTATCGTTGTTATACATATGTTTTATAATATGATAAAATGGGAAATCATAAATAAAGATTAAAAAATCGTCTCAACAGCTGCATTCAAGAATAAAGTGATGTAAAACGGGCTGATATTGAATTGCTACACAATTGACAACTTTGAATTAAACACTGTTAATAATTTATTTATGTCTCTTCCTTTATTTTGTCGAAACTGGGCGTTTAAGCATTTCGCCCACAGCTACTAATCTTATTTTACGGAAGTTGGAGGCACTGACGTTCTTTATAATAAGAAAAGATAATAAAACCAATTTCTTTGATAGTAACATATAACTTTATTGAAGTGACATGTCAATTCATACATCCCCGATGCAATTTAATAAAAAAATATACAAATTTCATTCATAAGTATAAATATATACTCACATACATTAATGTATATTGTTAAGTGATTGCTTCATATTCCATACATGACTTCAGCGAAATAAGAATTAATACTTAATAATAAAAAATAAAGACGTCGACAATAATAAAATAATGCTACTTTAGTTCTTATAAGTAACTATTCCTATATGCCTACGGACAATACTTTAATGCTGCCGCCACCTTTTGGTAGTCAATGAAATAGCTCACTATTTGACTACGTCGGCAGGGGTAGGGATAGAGTACAGTACGTACAGTACAGTACGTGCACGTCGTACATCGTACGTAACACGTGTAGTATGAAACTAACCTTGTGATCCTTGACGTGAAGAAAAACTAGTAGGAAATTGTTATTTTTTTGTTCAGTTTTCTATTTCGAAGAGTCCTTTTATACGTTGCTCAAAAGCCGATCAGAAAATGGGAAAATTGGGTCCGCGTCTAGACAGCCGGAAGAACGCAAAACGATGGCCAAAGGGACAAAGCTCTAGTTGTAATCCCGAAACGACAAAACATCGTGATCAGGCAGCGTGGTTTCTTAAAGGTCCCATAGGTACGGATTTATGCATATCAAACTTTTACTCGTTATTCTTACATTTCCGAAACATGCCGATTTTTTAATATTTTCTTTATTGTCAGCTTCAGGAAAGCCTGGTATAACGACATCGGATTTAGAAAAGCACGATGCCATTCAAGGAATTGAGCCACAGTTCGAAAAGCTGGATCTTGAGGAAAATCGATCGGAAACATCGACGGAAAATACTGTTGATACATTTGCTACTAATTATAGCAATTGTTCAAATGTATCATTTAGCAGGTAAGCTGAGCAAAAATTCTCGTCCTCAATTCTAATTCATTAATTCATAATGATCAATCTTACAGATTCCTGAGTCATTTTCAGTCCAATTCCTTATTACATAAAGAAATGTTAGCTGTGTTGTCTGCTGTAACAGAAATCATAAAACAGCATGGAGGAAGCGAATCGTCTGTAGAATATTTCGCTGCATTGGTAGCTATCATAACACTAGTAATTTATTTAAAGAATTAAATGAAAGAGATAATGATTTGGAATTCTTATTTTATAGATGAGTACTTTAGAAGCAATTGAGGATGATACGTCAATCGCAGCTACCTTGTCTTTGTTAGGGATGGGTCTGAAAACTGTGCCAAAGAATATTTTAAACGCACAATTTGGGGCAGCGAGTAAAATCTTCTTAGATATCCTTGCGAAATATGCGACGTCGGAGGACTACTTAATACTTAGACACTGCATTCATTGTTTATCCCTGCTGCTCCGAGCACAAGAGCTAGCAGCGTGGTCAAACGCATCTACGATGCAAGTATTGGATGCTGTCCTGTCGTTCATTACACATAGTAAACCGAGAGTCAGGAAATCAGCTCAGCATGGAATATGTGCTATATTAAAGGGGAGTGACATAATGAAAGCTGAAAGTCATCCGCAATATCATCCAACATCGCCTCACATTGGCAAATATTGTATCACTCAGTTGCAGCTTAGTTCCGAACCCGGCGGCGTCACGAGTATTCTTCATGTTCTTACATTACTTAAAGACATTCTTCATCATTTACCAAAAGCACACGTAAAAACGATTAGTGAATGCTTATTGAAATTAATGACGTTGAAGAATGTGCTGATAACGTCCTGTTGCCTGCAAACGTTTCATGGTCTATTCGTATCTCGACCATCGGAGAATGTTCTACCGGGGCAAAGGAACGCGCAAATTATTACGGCTCTTTATGATTACCAGCCTCCAGCGACCGACACCCAACCAACCTTAGCATGGTTGGCTGTTATGCAGGAAGCGCATTTAAATCTAGCCCAAATTTCATTAAACTTGTGCGCAGCTATTCTACCCAAAATGTTCGATAAATGTATGGAATTGTGGCTATCAGACAGGTCCGACGTCATATCTGGTACGTCGCATACGATAAAGATATTGTTACAAGATTGTATTGGGAAAATGTGCGAAGACGAGTCAATAACGAAGTATAAGACCACCATCGATCAGACTACTTGTACCATGCACAAAGCATTGAGCTATCAGTATTTGGAAGCATGGTACCACATTCTTCATTTGATAGCTGTACTGTTTCAAGTAACCGGAAAATCAAAGAGTCCACATTTGGTAAACATACTGAGAACTCTAGCAGATTTACGCGATTCCTACAACTTCGCGTCGAAGAACGACGCTGAATACGCCATCGGAGCTGCTATTCGAGTCTTGGGACCGGAGGAAGTGCTAAATATAATTCCACTTAAAATATCAGAAGACATGATCAATCTAAAGAGAACATGGTTACTACCGTTGCTAAAAGACTGTGTTGTAAAAGGATCACTTACCTTTTTCTCAGAAACTTTATTACCCATAGCTGAGCTGTGCGAAAAAAAATCGAAGGAGCCCATAGGAGGAAAAACTTACGAATTTCTCGTTTCACAAATCTGGGCTGTTTTACCAAGCATATGTACTAATGCGACTGACGTAAAAGATAACTTCAAGAATATTGCTAGATTATTGGGTACGTCTTTCAGCGAGAAAAAATCTCTGCGTCCATCAATAATGGCTGCATTACGAAGATTAATAGTGAAAGCGGTCGACGAAAATAAACTAGAGGATACGTTCGAGTTAGCCAGATTTGCTAAGAATTTTCTACCACTTTTCCTGAATTTGTATACCACAAGGCCAATCGGAACTGACGAAGAGGGACAGCGTCTAGCCGCATTCGAGACAATTAAGGTGTACCTTACAATTACGAGCAAGGATCTCGTACACGAACTGTTTGATCGTGCGATCTGCAGGCTAAACGAACCTAATGCTGACGAATTTTTCAAGGAAAGCGTACACGATATAATCAGACTGTTAATCGAGTATACCGACGTCGACAGATTAAAGACGTTCTATGATATGTGCATATTATCCCTCAAAGACAGTTCTAAAATCAAAGAGCAAAAGAAAGCATATAGATTTTTAGAAGAAATATGTGGCAGTGAAAAGGATGTTTGCAAATCGTTCATAGTGGTACATAGACGTGAAATACAAAAATTGTTAATATCATCAGCCACTGAAGTCGCGAAACCCAGCAGAGGACCACGATTAAGGTGTTTAATTAATCTAATCAAATCTCACCCACAACTTGAAAAAATGAAATTCTTGGAAGCTATCGTTCCCGAAGTCGTGATCTATATAAAAGATATAAATTCGAAATGTCGAGCGTCTGCGTATCAGTTACTAAATACAATAGCTGAAAGGTTTTTGGAAAATCCGGAGCAACTGAAAGAATATGTCAACATGCTAATAATCGGCTTAGCTGGCGCACAGAAATATTGTACTGCTTCTATGCTGGCACTTGCCTCTGTTACTTATCACTATAACGGATCTCTCGGTGTGGAAAAAATCAAAGAAATTTTTGAACACGCATGTAAACTCGTCGCCAGTCCCACAAGAGAGATCGCAGAAGCTGCACTTTCTTATGCTAAAGTTTATATCACTGTGATGCCTTCTCCTATCGTTGCCTCGACTTTAACGAAGTTGATAGACTCCTTAAGTACAATGGACGGGGATTGCCATAGGCATTTTAGACAGAAAATAAGAGATATTTTAGCCAAATTGTTAAGGAAATATGGAATGGAAACGATCTCAGCTATGGTCCCAGGCTCGAACACGGTGTTGCACAAAAGGTTGAAAAATATAAGTAAACTAGAAGAGGCAAAGAAGAAAAAGAGAGAATTGAGAAGATCCAAGGAGCAAGAAAGTGATGAGGATAGTGAATTCAACGCGAAGAGAAGACCTAAGACTATAGAGGAGATATTAGCAGACAGTGAAGATGAATTTGAAGACACGGACAACGAATCACAGAGAAAAAACAAGAAAAGGACATCGCGAAAGGAAGCATGGATACAAGAGAACGAAGAAATTGTTGATCTCATCGATCCTGCGGCTGCTAGAAATATAACAACGACACACCCTGGATCCTTAAATACAAAAGCTGGAGTCCCGAAACCAAAGGATCGTGGGTTCAAAACTGCACCAGATGGACGTCTTATTATTCTAGACGATAATGATATAGATGACGAAACGGAAGTTAAAAAGAAAAAGAAATCCCCACTTTTATTGCACAGTGACTCAGAAGATGACTATGGTAATTATAACGAAAATTGCATGAAAAAATGAATGAATTGGATAGTTACATAAAGATAACGTGCTTTTTTCAGAAGACATCGATGATAATGCGACTGTCGCCACAATGCATTCGACACAAAACAAACGCAAGCGTAATGATACTGTTGATAACGTTAGCTTAAGAAGTGAATCCACATCAAGATATCAAGGTAATATAAATACTCATGTTTTTCTTTATTTTGCCACGTGATGTACTTTTTGTTTATTTAAATTTATTTATTTATTATTATAGCTGGAGGATCAGGAATTCATCGACCATTGAAGAAAGGAAAAATAGTACACACGCCAGGATCAGAATTTAAAGCACCGAAAGCTGGCGGTGATGTTAAGAAGAAGGGTAAGCCAGATCCGTACGCGTACGTACCTCTATCACGAGCGGCGCTGAATAAAAGGCAAGTGGCAATATACTTACGTTTTCATCGGAACTTAAAATTTTGTTATTCTGATTTGTTCGTATTGTTTCCAGGAAGAAAAAGAAAAATGCGAGCAAATTTCAAGGAATCATCAAAGGAGCCAAGAAGGGTGCGAGAATCGGAATGAAAAATAAGAACAACTATATATAGAAGAAAATATACTTGAGGAGTATAAAACTGATAATATTGATAATAAGTAAAAAAGTTGTTATGCCTTTACAAGTACACAGTACTTGCAGTTTTCCAATGGATAATGTATAAAATATGCCAAATAGATTAGAATAAATTATTTTGCAATAGCGGAATAAAGTTCAGGATGTTTTTAAAGAAAATTTTCTTTATACAGATAGTTTAATTTATTACATAATTCAACAGAGGAAAGATTGTGATCTTCAAAATCGATACAAAATAATTTAAAAGTAATTGGATTAAATTAAGTGATCAGACTCCCTTCTGAAAGAAAACAATTTAATCTTCCTCAGCTGCATATACTGGAATTACCCTAAGTATTTATTCGAGAATGAACTCACGTTTCATTTGTATTAACTCTTCTTAGGCAGCATATTCTCTAATTCTCCAGATTCGCTCATTTCTTTCACAATGTCCAATCCTCCGACGAGTTCTCCATTTATATACAGCTGAGGGTAAGTGGGCCAATCACTGAATTTTTTAAGTCCTTCTCTGACGTCGTTATCTTGCAAAATATCAAATGTCTTATAATCTGCTTTGCAAGAATCTAGAATCGAGACTATTGTCCTAGAGAATCCGCAACGTGGATTTGCTGGAGATCCCTTCATGAACAGCATGCAAGGTGCTTGACTTGTTAATTTCTTCAGTCTCTCTTCAAGATTCTCTTTTGACTTGTTCACCTCGATCGGAATCGGCTCTTTGCTCGTCAAATAACGTTTAACTTTCTCTGCTAGCGCAGAGGGATTGGCTCCGTCGACTCTGTCGAGTACAGCCTCGTTTCTTACAAGGACGACCGTTGGTACAGCGGTGATGCCAGCCTTCAGTGACACCTCGGGCACCTTCTCGGCCTCGATCTTGGCGAACTTAACACCTTTGTATTCCGCGAGTTTGCTCATTTCCTCGATCACGTCGTTTATTTGCGAACACTGATCGGCCCATGGTGCGTAAAAATGAACCACAGAAAGATCTTGTGACCTGGCACGGTAAACAAACGCGTCCTTGAATGTTATCGATTTCTGATGCACATACGCATGTCACCAATTCTTATCTCGAAAGTTTGTATAAAAATTATTTCGTGACTTCTGAACCCGGGGAAATTCTCGTATCGAACGAAAAAGAAAAAATATAAAACGCTGATCTGTTATTTTATGCAAATATTTAATCTTTCTTGCGAAACAAGAAAACGTACTCTTCGTTTAATCCTACAATTACTTTTTAAATATAAATCGAACTTTCTCGTAGAACAATGTGTTGAGCAAAAGCAAGATGTTTATATGCCTCAGGTTAGGTGCTAGAAATTGAAGTACCAGTTTAAGAATTCACGTATACTTACTTAACGTACTCTCCATATTCTCCCTGGGAATTAAGAGTTGTGACAGTCATTCTGTCACTTTTTTTTGTATATTAATCAAACACGTGTTAACGTTGAGCAAAAAATACTACGTAATCACACTTGCCTTTGCGGCGTCTACGCGACTTCTAACATTGCTCTCATGGAATCCTGAATCCCGATGTATGATTTTGCTTCTGCGCAAAAATTCGCCAATCTCCTACACGGTACATTAGAATGATTTCCGCAGCGTGGGCTATAATGCACTGCTTTAAAACAATATACTAATAATGTTTATCATTATCATTTTTCAATACTGTTATTGTTTGACGGTAAGGCAATCTTATCTGGAGAACATTACAAATACATGTGTACTAAACACATTGTATATCTGTGTGAAATGAAAAATTCGCAGTACCGTCGTGTGTACGAGACATTAAATATGGTTCTCAATAAAAAGCTTTTATGAATGAATGCACACCAATAAGCTCTGTCCTAACTGAAGTATGAAATCCTGTAGGAAGAAGTAGTTGCGACAGCGGTCCGAGGAAAATGCAACACGGATCATTCGGGTTTTATAGTGAATTTATGGGGTAGGTCATGAATTTACCTCCCCTTTACAAACAAACTTGCTATAGAACTCAATGAATATAGTAGATCGAAACCTCCCGTTCTACGTCTCTCTCGGATCGGCCTTTGTCTCGCAGTTCAAATTCCAGTTAGAACAGAGCTCAATACTTGAGACAGACTGAGCAGACTCTGAAATTTTAAAGTTCGGAGATGAATGATAAGTCGATAATTAAGCAGTTTATTCTTTCTATGACTAAACATGATAGATGTTGAAAAAATGCTATGAAACAATTCGAAGAATGAGTCATACGTGTTGGAGAGCGTCAAACCCGTTCTGGCTACGACAGACATTCATTCAGACTCGTTCAAACGAAACTGGAATATCGGATAAAAGAAGTTTCACGAGTTGAGAGTCACGATTGCAGGACCGTATCAGGCGGAACAGGTGCACTACAAGAAAGTGACCAATCGAAACGACGATGGGCAGCTCGTCATACTACAGACGTCATCGTATACAAAGAGTACGGTGGTGAGGGGAGCGAATACAAAGCGGTGAGGACTGTCAAGAGTCGAGACACCTCGCCCACAAAAACCAGATGCAGATGCGACCGGGCGGTGAACACGTGCGAACTTCTTTTTTTTTTTATGACGGGCGCGCGAACACGCGGGTGCAATGTTTAAAAAATTGTCGCGGAGCGACGCTCTCGAGGACATATCCAATTGGAGCACCAATGATGTGTTGCGGCTGCTTCGAAAGGTGAGCAAATTCCAGTGAAAACTGATCTCCTTCCACCGCCAGCCACGGATTGTAATATGAAATTTTATTGGAAGACCTCGATTGATTTTATTCAAATAGGCACTTGATATCTTTTAGAATTTTTTTTAAACGCGTGGCACCGGGTCACGGCGAAAATAAAATATTTCATAATTATAGTAGTAAAATGTTGATACGTACCGTGTAATCTTGTACACCACAATAGGGTGGGAAAAATCGATAGAATTATGCGTTATGCGTTTCTATCACTTACAAAGTAGTGCACTTCACCTTCGTATGGATTAAAAACAGTACATCTTATGCACCGGTTGTCAAACTGGATGACACATCGAGAATGGATCGCAAATGAGACATGTGCACACACAGCAGTTCACACGCGGATTCTTTTCTTACTTTCCACCGCAGGGTTCACGTAGTACGTTGTACTTCTTTTTCCGTTGAGATTGGTATAAAAGGAACATAAAGCTGAAACTGTATTTATACAAATTACGGAAATAGGAAAAATTGTTAGCGTCATAATAACGAAGTATCGTAAAATTATAATGAATATACGTCGATTTAAAATAGCGTAGAACGAAAGAGAAGAGAAACATTTATACATGCACTCGCGTGATCTACTTTGTTATTAAGACATGGCAAATATTTGTACAACAGACGCTCAATATCTATAGCATACATCTTGCCTGACCTGGCGCATTATCAATTTTTATAGAACGGCCTAGAAGAATGTTGCAAAGCTATCGCGAAACGACAGATCGATGGGGATGAACTGCTGGTGAGTAAATGCTTAGAACAAAGTGTCTTTTTTATTGTTGCTGATTAACGTGTACGAGTGAAGACACTGCGATAACTCGAGTTGCACATAGAACGATGACGAAACGGCTGGAGGCTAATGACTTTATCCAACATGAATTTATTCCTGAATTATTAATCCACACGTAGAATTCTAAATGATAAGAGATTATTTAAACCTCGTTAAAACTTTGATAACAATGTAATCAAGATGTATTACTTTCACGCTTAATTAATAAACGTTCTTAATACTGCCTCGTGCGCGCTTCATTAGCTGAAACAATGCAAAGGGAAACGAGTTTCCGTGCAGTTGAACTGGGAGAAAACGCAGAGACAATGCAGCCGAGCAGTTTCATTCATATATCGCAGCGTTACATTTCGGTTCTAACCGGCGCGTGCTCTCTTATGTCCCTCTTAATTAATTGTAATTATTCTAGCACTTGACCGAAGGGAAGCTGTCGTTGTGGAAGAGTGACCTCACGCGTCCGTTGATATGGTAAGAGAACGAAATACGTATGTATATCAGACAGGCCTCGTTTCTCTGTGGTGCAACAGCGTGGACCTGTTCTTGCCTCCAAAGTAGAGTCAACGGGCCTGTCTCACGACCTAACGGTTCCTCTCCGTGAAACATCTCCCATGGACACGCCTTCGAATCGTGATCGGACTCACTCGTACGCACCTATATAAGTAGGTGTGTTCGGAAAATATAGCTATTCAAGATAATTAGAGAATCGTTCGCTCGACCGATTTTCTCGGTCGAGTAGAAGCGACTGCTCGCATGATTACGCGTCTTCGAACGATTAAGAATGCAAATTCGATTAAATGAATGCGAAAATTCACGTTGTTGCATCAACGGATTCTCTAGTTAGGCTAATTCAACAAGCACGTCAATTAATTTTCCACGACGTAAGAAAAAGTATTTCCGTTCGACGAAAGTCTGATCACACTGCTGATTAGGTAAACCATTAACGAGACAGAATAACTTGAAACACTCAGCCAGCTTTCGTTCGATTCGTACATACAAATAATAGGAGAATCGGATTGCCATTAGAAACTATACGACAGCTAACTGTGAATTGTTTGCATTCTATTCGCATTACAACACGACGTTTCACTCGGACGTTCTCGAACCGCGCGACGGAACGGGACGGTTCGTGCCGGTGAAAAATTTGGCGAGCGATGATGCTATAGAAAGCTTCACGGAACGCAGTATGCATACCGAGGGAAGGTTCAATGGCTGGGGCTCAACAAAATCGAAATATGCTGTAGCCTAGCATTTCTGAAGGCCACGCTCAGACTGTACGCCTGCTGGGTTACTCGATGCCATAAGCGCGTAATCTTATCGCGTAGGAAGCATTCTATCACTAACGAAATTAAATCATCTTTTATTGAGGAACTTCCTTTTTATAAAAACGCGCTATCAGTCTGACCATTTTAATAATTAGGAATTAATGTATTTGATTATTGCAACATTTTTTAAATAAAAGATAAACCGATGAACCTATTCATGTATTAAATTATTTTAGACATATTTACTTCTGTTTTGTAAGGTTCTCTATTTTTTAACAAGATAAGCAAGGAATCTGTCTTAGTTATTCTAATCGCTACGTAGAAAACCAGTTTTTCCAATGTGGATCACGTTTCTTAGGAGCCTCTGGGCATTCGTAGAGGAAGTGAGGAAAACACCGGAGAAATTCGTGGAGGAGAAGATCGTGAAGTTTCAAACGCACGAAGAACCCTTAAGCGACACTGGCTCGTGGGGGACTGATTTCGAAGATGAAGTAAACGAAGAGCATCCGTCCGTATCCGAAACTCGACTGAATCCCGGATACAAACACAAAACGCCTGAGAACAACGTGAACTTCATGCAACAGAATGTATTACCGGAAGAGGACGAAGGAACTTACGCCAATTGCGGGCCTATACAGAATGACGAGAATACTTATATGAATTGTCAAGAATCGAAAAGTGTTCCACCAAAAAATGTGTCCAGATTACATGGCCAGAGCGAAAAGTCGTTGGCTGAACAGCTTAAAGAACAATTGAAATTTCGTAATACGAACAAACCGATGACTAGGCCGAAACCGGAGGCATTACAAGCGAAGAACGTCGATGATTCGTCTTCGAATCGTTCTCAACCGCAGAAATCATTTCTCTATAAAGTCAGATCGAATGCATCCAATCAGATCCAAAGTAAGTACAATTTTTCGATATTTCTTTTTCGAAAGCAATGAATAATTAAATATTTTTCTCTGATTCGCAATTTCAGAGAGAATGACGATACCCCCACCACCCGAGCCAAAAAAGAACAAAGATCTGGTAATTATTGACAAGCCGAACAAGGAACAAATGAAACCTCCGACAACACTCAGAAGTCTCGACTTGGTAGCCAATTTACCAACAAAAACGGAGGAAAGTGAAGACGAATACGAGCCGTTCGATGAACAGTTGATTGAACAAAATCAGAAGAGGAATATATTACGAGCGGACAGTAAACAGTCGTTGACCAGCGGTCATCAGAGTTCCGTCGAGAGCGTTTATCAGCCGCCAAGTATTACGAGTTACGAGGAGGAAGAGGAACCCTACGAGATTTACGAGTCAATAACGGAAGTGGTAAGCCTGTGCACAACTTTTATTGTGACAACTAATTCGACAAAGAAATGGATGGATATTTTATTCTGTAGCCAGATAATGATGGGTACTATTTAAGTCCCATTCAAAGGCCGATTAATAAATCGACGCCTCCACCACTACCAGCGAAGCTTCCACAGTCGTCCACTACCCCCTCCCCGGTTCTGAATCGAACAGATTTGGAAAAGTCAAAGGGTTCGTATTAAATTTTCTTCTACATTCTAACAAAATTATTAAATCATCCTATTGAATCGATGAGATTATACAAAATAATACACATTGAAAAAATTGGTTCCCATGATACACAGAACACGTTACGTCAGTAAAATTTAAATAAGAACAGAATCGGGCTGTGCAACGTGTTACGAGACTCGGTAACAAGTGCACGTCGTATTAAATCAAAAGAATAAAAAGCATTCGGTGTCCCAACTTCTCATAAACATGTGCGTGGCAAATGGCTGGCCACTGTTGCAACCTGATGCATTTTGCACTTTTACAGCCAGTCACGAACGAACTATCGTCTCCCTTATCTCGAGTCGTTCTCTTTATTTGAATACGTTCAATTGTAAATTGTCTAAAAATTGCAATCAATAACGCTAATAATCTGATAAAAGTGATATGCATAAATCGCGGACACACGTATAAAATGATTGATATTAAAAGTGACTCCAATCTTTCGTCGTTGTCGGTTAAACGCAAGAGGGCGAATCTCGAAAGATAATTGAAATCGAATGAGATTTTTTGTACCACCGGAAACGGAAGGGGAGACAGTGTGATGGAATGTGTTCCTGCTTTTATCTGAGACTGAGCAAACAGCTCTTGGGGGGTTTGGTAGCCCGCCTCGCCGATGAAGTGTCCGATATGATAGTGAGAATCAAACGAGGACTATCGCGGTGTTGTTACTCCCAACCACCTGAACCGCCAGGTACGACAATCTCTTACGAAGCGAATTCCTCGCTTATCGTTCACGCGTCGTTCCAGCCGTGTACACATTTTCAAATCCGAATCGTCACGTTCTTCGGTAAACGCTTGACACGGTTTTCTGCCTAAATTGGAAATCGAACACCGGACTCAAAATAGCCTACGATCCGACCGATATATTTTTAAACTTTAAAGAATCTGTGCACCCCATGCTGAGAGACCAACGCAGAGCCGACGCGACGGCTTCTATAGTTTACTCGACAGGTTCCCCAGTTAAATGCCAGTCTCTGCACTGATTTCGTGGAGTTCGGAACGGATTGACAATTTTCTGATACGAAGTTCCCTCACTTAAATAACATCGCGTACTATTAAAAATTTTGTACAACTTGTTTTCTAACTATAAGCTTTGCTAATTTGCATTGTTTATTGAAAAAATTCTAGAACGCATACTCGGTACTCGTTCTATTTCGAACGTGGGAGACGTGTAAATTATGAAACTGGTAATCCTTGAAGTTTATCGTTGGATCTGACTCTGCTCTTACGGTGTTCAATGTAATCAGCGAGTAAAATTGGTCGCGGAAATCCTGTTTTCCTGCAGTGCTATTATCGAGTCGTTTCATTACCACATTAAACGCAGTGGACTGTGTCGTGTAAACGCGAGAATATCGACTAGGGAACAGGGTACGTTAAAAACCATCAGATTATGAACGGAGGAAGATCGGATGACGGTATAATAGTGCATATTCTTTTGCTGAACGCGTGAAATTTCGAAAACGTTTATCAGCTTAAAGCGAAAGACGAGACTTTTGCGAAAATGGCAACGATAATTGGGGATCGGAAAAGAAATGTGTCATTGAACACCGCGATGCGTCGTCAAGTGAGTCTCTCAGAGTGTTTGACTCAAGCAGCCCTCACACAAGCCCGCCTGAATTTAGCAAGTTAGTGAAACAACAGCCTCAAACACTATAAAATCTCTTCGACTTTTAAAGTGGATTTCATAAAATAGTTACTAAGACATTTAAAGTGTATATAATGGATTGCTTGCAGAGCGATCTCCTGATAAAAAATCAGCGACTCTACCCCATTCGAACAGTAATACCTCTTTGGTATCGGAAAGAGCTACGAGACCGTTACCACCGCCGCCTGAGAGGCAATCCTACAATGATAAACCTTGGTTCCACAATATTACGAGGGAACAAGCAACGGCTCTTATTAAAGAACGTAAGTAGTTTGAATGAATTCGTGCCAATAACGAATTAATATAATTTCGTAATATATTTTCACTTAAAAATAGTTTTAATTTGAAGAAAAATCTAATTTTCTAACGCTGTTTGATTTGATGTGTTTAGAAAGTACTTACGGTAATCCCCAAGACGGATATTTTCTTCTGAGGCCGTCTACGACGAATGTGAATAATCCACTGGCCTTGGTTCTCTGGTTCAACGATAAAGTGTACAATGTTCCAGTCAGGAAGCGGCCTGACAACAGGTAAGGAAACCTCGCATGCTAACATTTTATGTCCGTACATATCTTCGCTGGGTACCGGACTTATGCTAAAAAGTAAAGAGAGAAACCTGTTTACAAGTCTACTAAAAGAATCTCTATGAATGAAAGGTGGAGAGTAAATAGTGAAAGATTGAATTGAATATTTTCGATCAGGTACGCGTTGGGTTCGGCAAAAGTGAACGAACAATCGTTCTCGAGCGTCGAAGAGATCGTCGCGTTTTACATGAAAGAGGAACTGGTGCTTCACAGCGGAGGCATGGAAATGGGAAGCACGAGATTAACGGACACACCGCCAAAATAAACTTTTCGAAGTTCTCACAAACCAGCTTGCACTATGCAAACACTGCCTGACACAGAATTTCGAAAAAGATCGGAGCTGAAGGGACGGCGTGCAGTCAATTGCACAGAACGAAGTGCCTTTTGTACTCGTGATAAGTCCAAAATCGACTTTATATATTTTTTATAAGACTCCAATGCATTTATACAAATTATAATAAGCGCAAGTGTGAAGTATTTATTCTAAAAAAGAAAAAGACAGAAGGAAGACGGATCTCTCGCGCCAGTGCGTGTATATTTCTATAGAACGTTTACGAGTGTAATTTTAATTAATATTGAATCTGCGAATTTGAATGTAAGAATGCACACATTGATTTCTGATCAGGGAAGGAACAGTCGTGTTTTTAATTTACTTCTTTCGTATGTTCGATTCATAGGTTTTCTTAAGATAACACATAATGTACATTATGCGTATGTAAATAAGACACTTATATTTAGAATAGACCTAACTACAGCCAACAATATTTTATATCGCGATCTATTTCATTTATTATGATTTTATAGTTACATAAGTATTTCCTATCGTGATTGCATACGAATAAAAATATTAATTTCTAATGCGAGTGTTAAAAATTGAATGAAGTGCTGAAATAAAAAATAAGTTGTACAGATAAAAGTATGAATCCAGATCACTAATTTTTGGTCATCATCAGAAGTTAAGGAAAAGGAAAGTGTAAGTGCCATACTTGAGGAAAATATAAGTGACCTTACGCACGACATACGAACATTCTATTTTCGATTGTATAAATTTGTAATAAGTTGTAACAAGAATAAATAGTTACTTAAAAAAGGGACACATAAACTGTACTTATTTTCAATAAGATCTTTGCTAAACCGCTTGAAACGAAGAAATAAAAGAGTAACCGTTAAATTAAATAAAGGAGTCAATCATTTGTATGCAATCTACGCTGTTCTCAATTTATCAGTTTAAATTAATGAAATCGTATTGGTATACCGGCAATTTACCCGGGCGCGTTTATCTCCACATTCGACGTTTGATAACGATAATATCATTTAAAGTAAACACTCATGCGATCGGGTTCACAGCTCACTTTCACGTCTGTCGGGCATTTACGTGTGATAGTTTCATGGAATCAGCCAGTGTATAATATTTTATTTTAGGCCGCCGCGACAGTAATATTAATCGATGCGTTACCGGGCAAGATCTGAGTTTACGACAGCTACAATCTATATGAGTATGAAATAGACCGTGATGTTTCACGTGGTGAACCTGTGCGCGCGTGAACTTTGAACCAATTACTCGACGGCTGTGATACAATCAAGGAGAGAATAATACCGTTGGATTCGTACATTGGATTTCTCTTGATAAGATCGTGTTTGACATTGAATCTCAATTCGCCCCGATCGCTAATTTGTATGTTCAGCGTGCGTGTATCACCTCTCAACTTTTTATACGCGATAATTATCGCGCGTAGCCCGACGCGTTATCGTATGATACCGCTTCTTGACAACTTTCTGGCGAAAGAGAAAATATAACTTATATACCTTATAACGAAGCGTGTTTCAACTTCTCAGAAAGATCAGTCCTACACAGTGTCGGTTGAAACAATCGAAGATCAGAGAGACGCGCGGTTCGATTAACGATTTACACGGCGGGAATCCGTGATGCTTTCAAATTCGCTTTCGTATGGAGAGAAATGCATTTTGTAAACTCCCTAGGTGTGCGTATCATGTTAGTTACTTTTCCTGACGTCACGTTGCAGACGCTCGACGAGCAAATCGGTGCAGCTCAGTGGGAGAATGTAGTAGTCGAAACACACGATAAGATCGTGCGCATCATACCGTTAACTGGCCGTAACTGAACGTCAATTGAGCGGTCCATTTAGCTTGTCACTTAAAGCTTTTCAAATAGTATCGCGAATCCGGGGCGTTGGACCGAAAATGCTGCTGCTGCTGATGGTCTCGTGAAAATCGCGACGGTGTCCCTCCGTTTCGTCTAGTTTCATCCCGCGGACGGTGCGATAAAAACAACACTGACATGAGTCAGTTGTCGCAGGAGTGCAGTTCCGAGCGGGAATAACGATGTATTAAGACAAAAAGTGTTGGTTCGTGCGCAAAATTAGTTTCGGGGAGCAATGGAAGATGAACAGTCAGGTCGAGAAGCTAACAAGATCTGCGGTGTCTGCGGTGACCGCGCTTTCGGTTATAATTTCAACGCTGTATCCTGCGAGAGTTGCAAGGCTTTCTTTCGACGGAATGCTTTGAAAAACAAGGTGCTTTGATTTGAAAACCTTCTTGCTTGTAGCTTCTTCTTTTCCCGCAAATATTGTCTTTCAAAAACACAGTGGGTGTTATTAAATACATGGCAATCGAACATTAATCGCATCGACGACTGTCAATTTTTGTCAAGTGTTTCTCCATTTTTGGAGTCAAATTCAGCATGAAAAGGTGGCATAACTGCAGATGCCAAATTCGAATTTGATTAAGTAATGATGCTAGAGTGATGACACGACAAAAAAGAAATTAGTACTTATAGTTTGTTGCTTGTTAACTGACAAAAGGTGCCTTTGATCGTCTCATTCAGAATTATTCTTAAACTTTTTTCAGGATTTTCGCTGTCCATTCACTGAGAACTGCAGCATTACTCCTGTCACGAGAAGATTTTGTCAGAAGTGCCGTTTGGATAAATGTTTCAGCATAGGGATGAGGAAAGAATATATTATGTCCGAAGAGGACAAGGTATTGAAGAGGCAAAAAATAGAACAGAATCGTGCTGCAAAGAAAAGGCCAACTATAGATAATACGAAACCATCAAAGATTAAAAAAGGTTGCATAGATGATTGCAATTTCGAGGACACTTCCATGTCAGTCAATTCAGTTGCATCAACTGTGTCAGACACGTATTTTTGGGAATCTGACAGGAAATATACAGACTTGGACGCGAACAGACAGAATTTAACTGAGAGCATGAGTCCAGTAACTGCAGCGAGTGTTCCAAGTCCTTCTAGTCCACCAGAGAATAGTACTATCACAGGATCAAAGACACTGGACATGATGAAAGACTCCTCTCATAATGTAAATTGTAATTTCAAGAGTTACGAGCATCCTTCGTCGCCTCACGAAGAGGAAGCTGATACTGAGAGCATAAGAATGGAGTCAAAGTGTTCGTCACAAAATCATCAATCATTTGATAACGTCAAACCCCTTCACCACTTGGAAAAGGACAAGAAATCAGTAATAAGTTCAAAGAAATTTGAGCAAAATATGTTCGAGTTTGATTCTACAACTAGTGGATCTGTAAAATGTTCACCGGAACTTGAGAATCCACCTTGTTACAATAAACTTGAGGATTATAACTCCGAACAGAACTCCGAATGTATAAGTCACACGTCCCATTACACAAAAACGAGTATCGATACGAACTCCGGATTGCAAATGAACGTACAGACTTGTTCAGAGGAACCAGAAACTAGTCAAAAACAAAACACGGAACCTGGTTCGAGAGAAGATAATTTAGCAATTAATAAACTCAGTCGAGATTCCACTCGTATTACCAAACTCGTCAACAATACGAATTTCGTCGCAAAAATATTTCAGAATGAAGAATTGCTTCTGAAAATCATAACCGATCCTGTTGTGATTAGTAAATTAGAAGCAGATCCACAGATTTCTCAGTTCTTCAAAGAAAGCGGAGTCGTTCCAGAAAAAGAACCGGCATCCGAGAAAGATACAAACCTTCATCTTAAAGACGATCACGCGCTTAAACCGACGCCTAAAGTTAAACAGACGCAACTAGAAAATCCTATATTGACCGATTTGATTACGAATTCGAGCCAAGAAGAAAGCAAACGTGACGACCCCAACAGTAATCATTGGAATAGAAGCTTGTCGGATGTTACAAAAGATGTACTTCAAGATGTAAGAAGGTATAGAAGATTACATTTATTTCCTATCTAGAATCTCAGATTTATACAGACGGTCGACAACTGTAGATCACATTTCAGGGTACCAATTGCCGCGAATTCCATTGAGTCTATTCTTTGCGAGGCAATTAAATTAGAGTTTTCAGCATATTCTGCTCTTGGCGGTATGGAGACCAGAAGAGTATTGAATGATGCTGAAAGGGCAAAGTTAAATGAATTAATAGTAGCCAACAAAGCATTATTAGCTCCTTTAGACGAGGATATTACGAATTTGATTGGGGAGGATTGTGAATTTAAGGTAGCGTTTGTTTCAGCTGAAAATGATACTTATAGCTGTTAGTACTTATACATTAAAACGAAAGTAACTTCAGTTTCAGAATAACTTTAGTCGATGTAATCCAGCACTGTTAGATGTTATCAATCTTACTGCCATCGCCATTAGACGCTTGATAAAAATGGCAAAAAAGATAAACGCTTTTAAAAATATGTGTCAGGAGGATCAGATCGCTCTTTTGAAAGGTGGTAGCACGGAAATGTTGATTTTGAGGTCAGCTCTCAATTACGACGTTGAAAAGGATATGTGGTGGATACCACATAGTCAGGAGAGTATGTCCAATATAAAAGTAGATGTGCTAAAAGAGGCAAAGGGTAATCTTTATGCTGAACATACAAGATTTATAAGGAGTTTCGATCCCAGGTGGAGAGACGAGAACATTATTTTAATTCTGAGCGCGATCGCTCTGTTTACACCTGACAGACCGAAAGTGGTACATAATGACGTAATTAAATTGGAACAAGTAAGTTTGACGTAATCTCTTTTACTGTATATTATTAACTTAATTAACTAATTATATACGTGACCTCTCTTTTATAGAATTCATATTATTATTTGCTTAGACGTTACCTAGAAAGCGTCTATCCCGGATGTGAAGCGAAATCGATGTTTTTAAAATTAATTCAGAAGATATCTGATCTTCATAGATTAAACAACGAAGTCGTTGAAGTATATCTTAATGCAAATCCGTCGAGAGTGGAACCGCTTCTTATAGAGATCTTCGACTTAAAACATTGATCGAACGTGTTCATTATAGTTGGTAGAGAAGAATTATGAAACATTTCCGTTCAATACTCTTCTAAGTAGCAACAGTGACAGTAGCACAGACGAGAGAAGATTCAGCACGAAAAACCCATGGGTGTAGAAAGAAGGAATTTTTCGACATTAATGCGACTTAATAGTCCCATGTTTGTATAAATGCTGTATAGTAACAACGACCCAAATATTAAGAGGACTACTTAGTATGAAATTTTCAAAAAATCGATTTTTTTTTGCATTTTTCGAAAGTTTATACCTTCAAAAATATCATACTAAAATATCAAGGTTTGTTCCCAACTAGTTTTCGAGTGGTAGCCTTCTAATAGGCTAATTTCAATTTAAAAGCATTTCATGGAATATTTCTCTTAAAAAAAAATTTCCAAAAATCACCTAAATTTTGGGCAGTCATACTGGGTAGGCCCCTTGAAAGCAGAAGTTTTATCAGAATTTGCAAGATACGCAAATATGTAAGTTAATTGTACATAAACTTGATAATTAGATGAATTATGTTATTAAAAAAGTTTATTCGTTAAATAATGTTTATGTAGAAATTTAAAGAATATCTACATATATTATAGTCCATTCCTGTTACAATTTTAAAGAGATTTATTGTAATTAAAAAGCCTTGTAAATTATCAATATCTCTATTCGATGATGGATATGACGAACTTCAAAACCTCAGAGATTATAGTTTAGACTCTAAATAAACGTGATATTTTGTCACTTTATCCTGGACAAATACGTATGCATGCCAGCAAGATTGTTGAAGAAATATTGCGTACATTTTAACGAGCGTACCTTAAATCGTTAAATCAATAACGTTACGTCAGTACCAAGTTCTATCTTCATGTTGAACAAATTAATATATGCATTAAGAAGAAGTTTGTTTATTTTCAGATGTAAATTAAAAGTAAATCGCATAATAGTAAACATGAATTCAGTGCTTGGTTATAAAAAAGATTCTCCGATTACACTGAGTGATCATGAATATTAATTATGTATACAATAAATTGTGATATCCTGTCAAAATATATTTTTCAAATATTTGTTACACTCTAAACATGTCATTTAAAATCCTCTTACCGTCGATCTGCCTTTTATTTTATGAGCGATACAAAATTAAAAATTATAAGTACCTGTTCTTTTAACTTTGGGACTCGTCGGGGAATGTATAACCAAGCAGCTGCAGAATTATAATTATGAACAGACTGGTGGCAGTGACGCAAAATGTCAAACTGACAATGATAAGGAACATGAATACCATTGTTCTAAGAACGAATAAGAAGCTGCAGACCAACCAATCCCAAATTGACTTCAATATCATTTTTCTCTTCGAAATTTATCAACAAAAAATAATTTAATAGATACGTGAGAAAATCTTCATCGAAATTAAATAAACGAGAATGTCAATTGTTATTTAACAAACGATAGGTTGATTGTTCAAAAGTTCCTATATATTGAGTATATGTAATAATACAAGCTGCATGTGCAAAGTACAATCGATTCTTTTTAATATATTATCTTCGAACCTCCATACCAGGGCAAGGAACGGTATCTTCCGGAACTTCCACGCTTGTCGGTTTTACATAATTTTGCCGCTTATAGTGATGGAATACTTCAATGTTATCTTCATAAGGTTTTTTAAAGATCCATTTAACTTTCTCTGCGGCAAGGTAACAGGCACCCACAGCGGACGTAGTTTTCAGATGAAATAGGCTTAATTCGTCCAAGGCCATCGATTGATGAATTTCATCCAAGAAAGCGTCTTTCATGAGATACCACGATTTCCAGACAGATCCCACACAAATAACTTTTATCCCGCCCGGACTCAACTTGAGATCCTAGAAATCGCGTATCATGAAACAAACATACGTATTTAAACACTAAATTCGTTCCAAAACCAATATTTTACATTGTGAGCCTTCCTCGCAAGAGCTATGATATATTTCGCGAGCCATCTTCCATTCTCTTGAAGGATGTATAAACAGAGCGAATCTTTTTTCTCACAACCTTGCACAATTTCCTTCGCGAAACTAGCGAAATGCGTTTTATTAAAGTTGGTGTATAAATGTGAGAGGAACTCTTCCCTGGTTACCACATTGAAATGATGCCTTATAGCTGGCCAGACATAGCTTATGCGTCTAGGTGCTCGGGCTAGACCATCGATATCGTCGAACACGTACTTGCACGCTCTGTGAGCAATCCAGTAGGCTGAAAATTTTGCATAATCATAAAGAGTCATTACTGGACAGAGTGCTCTCGTTCTAAATTTTCTTTACCACTGCCTTCGTCCGCTATCATATGTCCCCATCCGCCACATTTACTCATCTTATTACCCACATCGACTAGAAACGCCTGGCTACCTGTGCCAGCGATCAAGACGATTCCACCATTCGCGAAGCCAGTTCTAAGGCTGCCCATAACATCCGACGTAACGACAAACGTTTTAGCAGTGGCCGGATATTTTTCTTGTATCGTTTCATGGAGCGAACGATTAGTTTTCTCTTCCTCGCACCCACTTAAGCTAAGACCCTGATTATACAACCGATTAGTTTATTTAAGTAAGCTACTCCACTCGATTCACCGAGTGATATCTGAAATCTCTTTCACAGAACAGACTTATCGTCATGATTCATTATAACTATTAATATTTACCAAACAATCTAAAGGGACTAATTCCGACATCCCTATAGCTTGCTTCCCTTTTTCTACCATCGCGTTTATTCTGGCAGCCGTTTCATCTATACCGAGAGCCTAATCAGAGATATCGATGCGATTAATTGATGAAAAGTGCGAATGCTAGGAGCAATCATTTCACTTATTTACCCAATGATTAGTACTTGGGCCCTTAATTTCCGTCAAAATTGTCCCTTTTCCATCCATAATGATAAAAATGGACTGAGACGATCCACTAAAAATTATTAAATTCGCCTGTGTAGTCAATTTCTTAATTCAATTTTTGATAATGATATCTCGTAACCATTTCCGATCGTTTGCGTTATTTGCGTTGATAATAAGATCGTGCATGTGAAGGTAGATGGGAGTTAAAAGCATACAGTCGCTGTTAGAATCAGTTAAGTTAATCATAGTCGAAGTAGACCGTAAATTGTTCTCATTTAGCTATTACTCGAATGTACCCATGTATATGCATAATATATATATCGAGAAACCGCGGTGCGAATGAAATTACGTATCTTATTACATTAAAGTTGAGTTTCTAAACAAAATTCTGTACACAGAAATCCCTCGTCATACTTTGTTCCAAGTAGAGACAAATAAAGGGTATGTTAGTATCTGTTTTGCTTTTGATAACGTTTCGGAAAAGTAAGTCTGCAAATAATCGTGATAGAAAGATTCAATGGCAAATACATATTTACTGATAACGGAGTATCATACATTATGCTTCTATATTGATATTATTTGAGGCAAGTAATTATCACAAGGAATATAACAAATTTTTTCCAAGACAGAAATTTCTTCGTGTTTATCTATTTCGATAAATATAGATAAGAATTTGAATGTCAATGAATTTCGATGAGGAACGATAAGACCACTCAGTATATGGCAGAGCTGCTCAGCTTTTGTCCGTACGGGCATTTCGTTACCGCAGCATTAACAATTCATAAATGAAAGGAACTCCAAGTCTTTTAGCCAATTATTGTCTGTCGTTTGCATGAAAATTTTATAATAATTCCTCATGAGCGTCTGAATTATCTTATCTGAACCACGAAGACCGATCCCCCACAACTGAATGCCCGCGATCAACCGAGGCTACTCTTGCCCGCCAGGGCCTATGCTGAGCAGCTCTGGTATATGGATTTATGCATCGCGTACTTTCATTTCTTAAAAACTTTCCTAGACTTATGAATATATGCAGCACTTGAATACAAAAGAGTTGGAAATTAAAAGAGTAATGTATTTTCGAAATTCCAGGCAATAAAATTCAATGCGAATTTTGCAAACAAAAATGATGGATTAATTTTAATTGGATTTTATCAGCATGTATTATCCATTTATATGCTTATCGGTTGAGACAGGAACAATGCGGTACAGTTTAATTCTCGATGATTATACCAAAATTTCGGCAAACTGCTAAAAATAGTAAAATTGATAATTACTCACCCTTCGACACCGCCGAGTCTAATTTCTTCCGGTGCTTCCGGTAACTCTATTTTCGCCATCTCTTCCTCCTCCAACATGCTTCTTCTTTGCGCTTGTCTTCTTAATTCCCGGCGAAGTTCGAATTCGTCGATACGCCTCCTTTTTCCTTTTTTACCTTTTCCTTTTTTACCCTTTCCTTTTTTCCCTGCCATTTTTCCGATCAGACAATTTTTAATTTAGTCACTGAAGATATTTCCGGGAAAGGGATCCAGGGATTTGGAAGGGAGATTTAAAGATTCATGTTTATCTGATATAAGAGTGATAATAAAACCATTATAGAGTACATAAGAAATAGATGACGGAGCATTAAGGATGTGTTTAATTTGTAGATCAAGCGTATTAAAGCTGAAAGAAAATTTTGTCGCTTTTGTAAACATCCAGAAAATTAGAGCCGAACGATGGTAACACGTATAAACAAATTAAAGAGACAATCCAACAAAAAAATACGAGATTGAGATTGAATTTTAAATAGTAAAACATTACAAATACGAAGGCAGTTTTCAAATATAACTCTTGCTATTCGCGATTCAGTAGGCAAGCGGATACATGTCAAATGAGAGAGAATAATTTACGTCAAAATGACAGTGGAGACCATTGAACTATGTTTTATATAAGTCAATGGTGGAGACTTACTGAAAAAATTTAAAGGCTATGTCCTTTAGCGAGCATACGCTTGTGCACTTTGTACAGTATTGTAGAGCATCTCGAAGAGCAACTCCGTGTAGTTCGATACAAAAATTCTGGACACCTCGCGAATTAACGCATGTGGCACTTGAAGAGAATTCAAGTACTCTGACCGTTACCAGTGAACGTTTATGGATCACTATGGACTATAATCACTATGTGACAGTTTTACCAATCGAGTGATCGAGATAAAGTTATCTTCACATTCATTATTCTGCATTGCACGTTACTATTATTGGTCTTTATCAACGTTTACAAATATTGCAACATATATGTAACGCATTACAAATATTGCACCATGCATGGTTCATTATAATGTATAAGTTCACTATGATTCAGTGTATTGCATATTCAGGTACTTCGCTAACTGCACACTGCTGCACACTCACAATCCTTGTATTACGATAACACTAGTCGTAATAAACTGTTTACTTGACTGCTTACCTGCTTATTACAAACCAGCTCAATGTTACAAGCGAATGCTCTGGTCTATAGCCACTTTGATACGCAATATATGTTTACACAAAATAATAAGGAAGAGATAAGATTCGATCAAAAGGAACTGATAAAGAAAGCTATTTTAACTCGGATCATGATCACGGACATATGACCGTGATATAAATGAAGAAAACCTTATACGTGCATAGCAATAAATTATGTTACTAGCGGATAATAAATAATGGATGAAGAATAAGCTGACAGCGAATTTCTAGAGAGCTTCGAATTACGCGGTTGAGACGTCTCAATCGCTAGTAGCGACGCTGGCTGGCGCCGTCTGTCGACGAGCATGGTCGTACTATGAATGGCAGAAACAGCGGGATAGGTTCGCTATCTAGAAAACAGTCCGGCATGCACAGTGACAGTGATTCGTGGCTGCGACACCGTGGGAGCCGCGCGGTGGCGACCGCACTTTCGAGTTCGGCAGCGCGTAGAGAATAACTGAGTGAACCAAGTTGCATCGAAAGGCGAGCGAGAAAGGTGCCCATATGCGTCCCGTTCGGTGTGTCGCCATCGGCCATTGTCTCTGACATGGAAGCCTATCAAAATGGCAGAGGTCGTGCAGATGTTTTTGTTCCTATATAAATCGAAGTACCGTCGGAAAGGGCAGTGCCGTGAAGTGGTACGGGATCAGTGCAGTGTAATTGCAGTGCGGTGGCCGATACTGTGGGCGGCGCTGATCTGCTGGGTGGTGCACGTAACCGCGGCTGCTTCCTCCTCCTCCTCTTCCTCGACGTCGTTGACGACGGAAACGACCTGCGACACAGACAACTGCGTCAACGGCGATTGTGTCAATGGCACCTGCGTCTGCCACGAAGGTTGGCAGGGCTCGGCGTGCCAATTTTGCGGCGGAAAAGTCAGGTGAGTAAAGGCGGAACACCCCGACGCATGTCCTCTCTCTGATCCACAACATTCTACTCTGCTTCCTTCCTTTGCTCACACGAATATTAATTGTCACTATACCTACGTACACGCGACGTTTTTTATAAGAACGGAACCCGTAGACTGATAGAATGGGCGCGTATACTACAAACCCTGTGTACACGTCGCGCCTTCTGATAAAGATATGCGCGTGGCGTCAAAACATTAACAGACTAACTGTACATTTCGTTGGGCTTTAGGTTTAACGGTATTGACGGCTTTTTAGGTCGACTCGTTTTCTTGTAGATTTTGATATCCGCTCTTCTTCGGAAGACGTATAAATGAGAGAAAGCGTGTGTGCGCGCGGCCACTTCAGATTTAATTGTTTTTTGCCGTGTACTCCACGCGCCTCTCGACGTTCTTCAACGTGTAAGAACGAGAGGAAAGGTCGGCTACTGTCTACGACCTCGGTTGATGGTGAAAAGTCAGGGGTTAATCATGGGCATTGATGAATCTAACGGTGACGGTGACCGCGGAAATTGGCTGGGTTAGTCTCTGGCTCGACTTTCGTTACGAGACTCAAGTTGTCGGAGATTAGATTTTGGGTCGATCGATCGCCGACGGTTTTTAACTTGACAGAGAAACTACGGTTTCTATCACTGTCAAGGCTGGTTTTCTTTTCACGAGTATTTAATAGCTCCTATACATATCTTGTATTCACATAAACCGATACTAGTTGTGTAACGATTACGATCGTGTAACGTTTATATTACACAATGTGATGTACAGGTATTAAAGCACTCTATGTACGAAGGTAAATAATTGTGTGCATTGAACCCACGAAATTGTACTAAAATAGCTGGTAACAGTAAACTGCAACAGTTAATGCAATGTTTATCATGCCCGTGATGCATGGTATTCGTCGAAAATATTGCAATTTAGGGTGGTTATGCAATGTTTATTCTAGAATCGCGCGTAGGCACTCGAGAACAGTCCGCGTCCCGGTGTCGTTGAGCAATTGCAGTGAAATCCGACGCAAACGTCGCCTAGGAACTCTCTTTATTTTTCTCTCTCTCTCCCTCTCGTTTTGCATTTTGAGCTGCAGCACATCGTAATAGACCAGTCGTTACGCAGTCGGCCAAGTGTTTCTTCTTTCTTCTCTTGCGTCGATTAATGTAGTTTATGCATCACGTTTTTCGGGACACCTTGGACATTTGATTAATAAATAAAATTAAATAAGAAATTCTACCTCCATTGTTGTATTCTGAAACCATATTCGATGTTCTACAAATTCGGAGACTTATTATATCTGCTTGAGCACGCTTTATCAGCAGATATTGTGATATACATATATCGCATGCTTACGTGTACTTGGTAGTATACAAACACGTACGTATATCGAATGTCAGGCTAGGAAAAATTTGTAAGTCGGATGTCTGAGTCGATTATGCGGTAGCAGCGTTTAAAACCACCCCGATTGATCTATGCTAAGAACTTACAATCGGCAGGCTTAACCTGGATTCGACGAGAGGATGTCGTTTCAAAATTTCATCGTGTACTCGTGAATAATTGGCGCTGAAAATAACTGCGCCTCTGGGACCGCGTAAAATGCGGGAGCCTCCATAAAACAAAGCAACGCGAAGAAAAAAGAGGGACGTTCTTAGCTACGAAAACATATCCGTGCAACACCCGATGCATCGTCCGCGCCTTACCACTTGTGCATTACTGTACGCCTGTCACGAACTAACGAGAGGAAAACACTCTACGATGCGTGTACGTACGACGTGCATATCTCGCCCGGTAATCTACTATCAGTTTTATTCTCGTATATGCGATTCTAATACGCGCGTTGTAGAATTCATCAAGGAATTTATCGCGCAAGGACTATTAATTGGGTTGCTTGCTATTTTCGTCTTTAATTAATTTGTACTTCGTTCCTGCATGCGTAATATTATCGTCAAGTACTTCTACGCGTTACACACGTGACAAACCACTTGAAGCGAAGATCGGCCTTTTGAAACGTGTGCCGGTGCAGCTGTTCTACACTATTCGCCCGACTTTGCTCATCTGAAATGTAAACATGATTCAGTCGTCGCGCTGTACGATGGTCAATGAGCAGTGACGCGACAATGCTGGTTCGTTAGTCACATCCAACTTCCTCCATTGTGACACGTGTGTACGGGCCGCACTAATTATGAGCGGCACGCGTGCATTTTTGTTTGGCCGCGTTTTACACCTGTACGACCAGCCGATGTTGATTAGTGAACGGGCCAATAAACGACGAGGATATCGCGATGATTTCCTCTACGTTTAATTATATTAATTACGCTATTTCTAGAACCGATGTTCGCAACAGTTCATGGGTACGAGGTGGCGATGATTAGTAGTCAGCGGTTTCACGGTTTCTAAATGGTCACGCTCAATTATTATGACCTGATGATTATTGAGTGGATAATACGGTTTTATTATAATCAAGCTACCTCCGTCTACGGTCTGTGTATTAATTACCGCTGATAGCATTTACTAACGACGACAACGTGTTGTTTGTGCATCCCTCTGTAATTTGATATCATTCATTGGGACAGCCGGAATCGATAACCGATGAATGCATAAGGCTGTATATTCATGCACACCTTATCCCCGGATTAATTACCACGATTCAGGGTTAATTACTGTTCCGAGCGAATTGAATCTCTTTTAATCTTGGATTAACGAAGATATGTTCGCGGGTGCTGGATACCTATCCTCTTATTTAAGCGGTCAATGAATTTATTAATCGCTCACAAGTGTACTTGTATATCGTCGTTCATTTAAATTCTTGTAAACAAGAGGTGCTTCAAGATAAAGTTTCAAGCCAACACAAGTGCCGTTGCATTTATTTTTTATAAATAAACATAAGGTCAGTAAATTCATTTCACTTACTATTATTATGCAATTTAGATTTACGTGACTTGGGTTCTTAACTGCATATTAAAGAAACTGTATTACGCTTCAAGGAAACTTCAGGGAAACTTAAATGAAGTTTGTCTACCGGCATGTGTTTCGTTACTTTTAGAACATAACAGAAATCGATCCTGACCATCAGCAGCGGAGATCCCGAGTTTTCGCGGATCCCGAAACCGCGGAAGTTATATCGGAGGACGAGGAGCGAGCTTTCCCAGAAACTTCGTGCAACGAAATTATTTCTGCGAGATGCGGAACGACATTATCGCCAGTTACTGTTTCATTTGGCGTTATCTACACGCGTGCATGTGTAAGTTCCACGAGATACTATGTTTGGCCATTGTCGAGGGGCGCCGGAACTTTGTTTCTCGCCTCGGCCTCTCGAGACCGTCTTCTCTCCTCTCGTTTCCGCTCGAAGAATTCCCGCATCGCATCGCGTCGGCTCGTTCGCCGGCGTCGTAACGCATGCAAGTACCTACCGAGCTACCTGAAACGCTGTATTGTCGTTCGTTTCCCCATTGAGATGATATCGATACGATACAGTCTCCCGTTTAAAGTGGACGGAAATTTTAGTGCCATTCGAGCACAGGAAGCTCGGCGGAGTTAAACTAAAAGAATGTCTCGCTCCTCATCTCCAAGCACAACATAACTTGAAAAAAAAAACTGGTTAACGCAAGAGATGATAATTAGAATTTCAAGTAAGTTGTAATTACGTGTCTCCTTTTGAATAAGTATATTATTATTGATTGTGCAACATGTCTTTGCATATATTGATTATGTTCTGAGTTAGAACCAGGATTTATGTAACTGGAGACGACGTAGGGAATCGACCCGTGCGTTTCTTCGGATCGCTCTTGTTGCTAAGGTGATTACGTACACGTGTATTTAAAAGAACGGTCCGTAGGCGGTATTGTGTTTCCGAAGGAGATTCCAATCACTTCGACGGATAGTCACCGAGTTGCGTGTCGCGGAGATTCTTTAGAATATTGCAACTTTTCGCACGGTCTTGCATTCACTTCGAACTTCACTCCGAGAAGTACACTGCGCGTATAGTGCACGTCCCAGAGGTGAAGTAGTCCAGGGAAATTGGAAAGCGTTCTAAATGTCACTCGGTCCATAAACTCCTTCTCGACGGGCCGTGCCATTTACTCGTACACTTAATCCAGTCGAATAGCTAAGGTGTGAGTCAACATTCCGCTCGACGTACAATTTAATATTGGATTTTACACTGCGCGCAATATCAGGCTCGACATTCAATTCAAAGTTTCTGGTCTGCGTGCTCCACGGTTTTATCCTCTTCGATCTGTAGAATCGAACACTGACTCACTGCGGTCCCTAAATGGTATCGAACTTCATGAAGCTACCGGGCAGCGCTTGGACAAAAAACCAGTCCGGAAACCAGTAGAATTCGGGCGTGTTTCGTTCGACCCGTGTAGGAAACAAATGCATGAATTTCCTCGCGGCGAAAATTGTCGAACTTCTACGTCTTCTCGTCTGACGCGTGGCTACCGAGTTAGCCGAAGGCGCAATCAGTGGCACCGTGCCGGTTTCCCGCCCGGTTTTAGCCGTTCTATCCTTTCATTGAATTATAATGGAACTAGAACTTTATATAATATACACTGGCGGCGGTGGAAGAGTCTGCGGTGGATATTCAGTGGTAAATATTTATTTTAATTACAAAATTCGCAGTCTACTCATCGTCTATCAGAAGTAAGCAATTTCCTGTAATGTATCTTGTAAGTGATAAGGTATATGAACCAAAACCATGAAATCTTCTTATTAAAGTGACACGATCGTCATTACCGAGACAGGCTCTGATCGATGGTAGCTCGTTTCTTTTCTAATTTTGTAACCGATCAGCACACGACCTTTACCATCCCCTTCTTTCGTCCCGCGGCACTTGGTTCCATTCACAGAATTATGCGTAGACACTTTTTTATGAACACATTGGGTAACTCGCTGTACTTTGCACGAGGTGATTGAGAGATATTTGAATTTCTAATGGATTTTAACACTTCAGTTCCTCGTCTCTAATCTGCACATAGAAGTTTAATTCGAACTGTTCATCTCGCTAACGCATGTAATGAACAAAGTTTACTCGATCGTTTGATATAATAGCTGTGCACTTAGTGAACGGAGCACATGAGGTATCGATTGGTTTACGGGAAAATGCGATCAGCCGTACGATACGATGTGCCAAAGTCAATTAAAACCTAGATTATACTACTACATCAAAACAGTACTTTTTATTCAATATTCTTTAATGGATATTAGGGAATATTGACTGCCGTCTGTTTTGATCAATTAAATGAAATTGTGTAAACGCAAAGGAGCGATGAAATTAATTAAATATCATCGTCGAGAGTGGAGTGAAAACAAACGATAGTTACTTGCTACGATAACATAACTAATTAGTTTATTAGGACAACAATGGGCCAAGAGAATAGCAGCCAGTTATTAATAGCAGAGTGAACCAGCCGGCTGGTTAAATATCGATTGTAATTTTAGTATGCGAAATAGGAAAAACAACGTTCTGTTGAGAGAGAAAATAATACTACGCTCGAAGACGACGACGCGTGAATAAGGATAGAAACTAGTTTGTCATGTTTCATATTAATACCGTTACGGCATTAATTCGATCGATTATTGATCTGGTTGTTCCGTTCGCAACATCTGCGCTCAAGAGTGCAAACGTGAACATATGCAAATTGCAGTAGTATTCATCACGGTCGAATCTAATTAACTCATTAACTCGTGCGTTTATAATTAATAGAGATAATGGAATGCGGCTAAAGACTTCTCATCATTTTCGCTGCATATTAACCAGTAAAACGTGGCAAATGCTACAGTTGTCAACTTAACCGAGTCTCAGTTTATTGAAAAACAGGAAGTCCTTCCGCGAAGTATTACACGGTTCTTCTTACTAGGTCTCATAAAAATCCAGCCAGCCGGGGTTCTAGAATCAAGCTATATTTTCTCGTAAATCTCAAGCGCTCTCCAGAAGACGTTCTTCTTCTTTCCGAGTGCTTGCCTTTATAGTTCACGCTAATGCCCTGTTGCGAATACCTATCGTTATCCTTTTCCTAGTTTTTTTTCAATTACGTTACTTCTTTCGTTCTTGTTTTTAACGAGTAAGTAAACATACAATTATTACATCAATTAAACTGTAGATTGTTATGCGAAATAAATTATTTATGGCGTCAGTTTAAAAAATGGGTTTTAATGAATATTCCTTTAATCAAACATTCTAATGTGCACTAGTTTTTTTTTTAATATTTTTATACATGCCAAGAATTCTTTATATCTTTTCCTGATCTGTTTTTATAAATCAGTAGTTTAATTATAATTTATAGGGCAGACAGTTATATAGAATAAGATACGTAGCTGTTTTGAATGAAACGCTTTGCACATTGAGGATCAAGACTTATTATTTCTTAACTCCTCCAGGCCTCGCACTTTAACGCGAGCGCGTTTCATTATAAATTCTTCCCGCGCTTCTTAGCCTGATGTTTCTGCAAATTGCGTTGGGCCCGGACGAGCGCAGAATTTCACGGAACAGCGAACAACTAGCATTCGTTAATTCACGAGACGCAGGCGAACGAACCCATACTTTAGCACGTATTCTACCTCCTCGGTCAAGTAATTAATATTAAGCTGTTTAATTCGTTAACAGACGTTTCTTCTATCGTTGAATCAATTGTACGTATTCCTAAGATCGCCCGAGCTATTCAAGTTTCGTTCACACATAGCTATCTACGTGTTTAAATATACTCAAGCATGAATCATGAACGAGCGCGAACAAATCAAACCCCCATAAATCTAGCTCGCTGGTATGCATCTTGAGTAACGCATCGAGCCAATTAAATGGAAGTCGGGCGACAGAAAAAGCTCCGCCGTTTACGTCTTTCGTAAACTCCGACGATATTCAAGATTATCCGATAAACCATTAACAGCGAGAGAAGGTAACCGGGATCACAGTTGATTCCCTCAATTGGTAAACAATGTGTCGAACGAGAAAAGGGGGTTTCTTGAGCGCACAAGCCCCGGGACTCAGCTCGTAAATTCTCCATTGTGTCGTTGCATCCCTTCGCCGGCATTCCTTTACTCCAATTTACCGCGTTTCTTTTAATAGCCGCGCGAGTCCTTCGCTTCCTCCATCGTTTGGCTTCTCGCATAAAGAGCCACGGTCTAAGCTACATACCCGGTCGTCGAACTTCTTCGTGACTCATCCCACGCTTTCTCGTTATTCAAATATTATTTCATGCTAATAAGAACTAATTGTAAGATACATACCGGTCGATATAAACGAGGACCACTCTTAGACTGCGATCGTGAACTTAATTGTCGCGCAGTTCGTGTCTCGGGTAAACGTGAAACGGTATAGAAGTTCCGAGAAGACTTTATAATCAGACAATAAAATTTAATCGACAGTCTACGATAGGACGTTGCATAATTACCGTGAGGTGAGTTAATTGTTCACAGGGAAACGTACAATGATTCGAGGAGGTTGCCTTGTGAACGAGATGGTCGAGTACTCGTTCTCAGCTCAGGCATCTCGACGTGCTATTATGACGTAACTCCAGAAGATTATTAAGAGGTTTTTATCATCGGGCAAATACAATTATTTGAAATTTCATTTTACGTATTCGATTATATAACCTTTGTGAGTTCACGTTTCTATCATCTCTCCGGTTCTTTATATAAAAATGATGAAGTATTAATGTCTGGCATTTCTGTATGTATTCTCACTCTCATAAACTGCGGCTGGGAATTTATGTGAGACGAAGTACGCGTCGACGTCTACGTTCTATTTTCCCTTTTTTTTTCCGTTTTGTACTATCGACATCGATATATTGTTATTCCGTGAACATCGTCGTCAATACGCATCCGTTTTCAGAATGGGATTGTCCCTCTAAGCCTGGTTTTGCTGAATAATAAAGCGGAAACTCTCGTCGTTCAACTCGACACGTTTTTTCGCTGCGTCGATAATCCTGAACTTTCTCCATCATTGCGACATCAAATTCGAGCCTTCTAGAATATATTATAACGTCGGCTGGAATTAATGGATCAGGCGATGTTGTAGATCCATGAAGCATCGTCGGAACAGGAAGTAGGAAGCTCATCGTGGTCACAGTTCTTTGTCTCTTGAAATTATTATTCCTCGAGTGCTTGCACCCATCCTTTCTCAGTTTTTTCCACGTGCGGGTGCGTTATTCGTTTGCATATTTTACCTGCGGAATCACCTCGCGAAGGTCGCTAGTTCCTTTCTAGACCCTGCGCTTCCGGTGTCTGTACCTCCTCATTAACGCGAGTCAAAAGCCCGGGCAGAGATTGAGAATTATTATCACTAACTCAACGTTTCGCTTACACGTTAATTTTTACACGTGTATTTTTGTTACGTTTAATAAAAACAATATCGATCGGTATCCAATGCCGCTTTTAATATCGAGAGCACCGTGAAAGGGTTGACCTCCGATCAGTAAACAGCCATAACGATATCAACTGCCTAATTTCTATCCTAGTTGATCTACCCGCTTGATGATCCCTTTTAGAATCGTTTAATCATGCTTAATTCTACCCGTACAGTCGCAACGCTTATTTATCGTTCTCAACTTCATTCTCTCGGCTTTATCCTCCACTTTGTCTTGTCCAAATCCGTGTTTTATCGTTATCACGACCGTGAATCATCTACGCGTCCAACGGTGTTGATAAAATGGAAAATAATCCACGGAGAAAATAGCATTATAAATATACTTGAGAAATCAGGCCATTTTACAGTGCAGACGAATTTTAAATGGTGACAATAAATTTTTAATATTGTTTCCAGAAAATCCTTAAATCTGATTGAATTAAATCGCTGCATAACTAACGGCCACTAATTATAAGAATCACAATTCATTATCGATCCCGGTTTCCCGGAACGGCTTATCGGCTCGACGTCTCGCTTATCATTAAACCCATCAATCAGGCTGTAGCCCCGGGAATCAAATTGATCCAGCTGATTTTTTTTTTATCGTTCGCAGGTTGACGGAGCCGACGGGGCACATACACGACGGGATCGGCAACTACACGGCGTTTCTGAAGTGTACCTGGCTTATAGAGAGCAACCCGAATTCCACTATACGTATGCACGTGGAGCAATTCGCGACAGAATGCGGCTGGGATCAATTGTATATCTACGACGGTGACAGCGTCGAGGCGCCGTTATTGGCCGTCTTCTCCGGTCTGATGTACAAGGACGGACACAGAGCCCGACGAGTGCCGGAAGTGATCGCGCGTTCTGGAAACGCGCTTCTTCACTTCTACTCGGACCTCGCGTACAACATGAGCGGCTTCAATATTACTTACAAAATAAACGCCTGTCCCAGCAGGTGATTATTATCTTACTTTCCTCCTTTTACTTCATTTCTTTCTTCGGTATTCTGAGTGCTGTTTGTTTATGTAATTTCGAGTTTATTCGAAGCTTTAGTTATTTGAGTTTGCTCTTAGACTGTGGAGTACACATTTTTAATCTTACAGTAGAATTAATTTGGTTTGATGGAGTTAGACTTATTTATAATTCTGCGATATCTATGATTCATTCTTATTACCGATAACCCGTTGTTCTTGGTCAATAACTGCTGTTCTAAAAACAGTCTGACACGTCCTCGTTCATCATTTTTCTTGACACCTGCATTTGTCCAAGCGCCGGGCAAACGTTTGTTCCACGTCTTTGCGTAAATACGATAAGAGCGTGTTTACAGTGGCGATTATGATCGGCACACGTTCAGCCTGTATCCTTAAGGATTTGCACAACCTATCTCCTGTTCCCTTTAGTACAAACATCTCGTGGTGCTCGCAGGTATTCACACACCGACTGTTCCGGTCATGGGGTTTGCATTGATGGGGTATGCACATGCGATGCCACGTGGACTGGTGAGGCCTGCGACATTCAAGTTTGCCCGAATAATTGTTCTCATAGTTATGGGCAGGGCCAGTGCAATCGCGAGAGTCATCATTGCGACTGTAAACCCGGTTTCAAGGGTGAGAACCTGTATTTAAAGTATTTCATACATTATTTTACGCTGTATATTTCTTTTACTCTATCTGAAAATTTTTCTTTTTATTTTTGGTGTACATAAGAACTGTTTCGTAGTTGGAAAAAAGAACAATATACTCTTTAAATATAACTGGTTAAATCGTGAGAGTTGAAAAAGGCATGTGTCATTGTATACTCAGGTTCCGACTGCAGCCAAAGAAGCGATCGCGGCTACTGGGAAAGTATATCGTACACGGATTTCTCACCTGAAGGCACGGCTAGTCACTGCGCCATCGTTTGGAAAGACTCTTTATACGTGGTCGGCGGTGAGAGTTTCAACCACGCTAAGATGATCTACGTGTACGATCTCAATGGGAACGTCTGGGAGACACCTCACGTGGAGGGTAAGGTGCCTCTGCCGCGGTACGCTCACACGTGCGTCCTTTTCGGCGACAAGATTTTCATGTACGGAGGTCTCCTCCCTAATTCGACGGCGACCAACGAGATCTGGGCGTTCGATGTCTCGGCAAAAGTCTGGGAAAACGTGACCGTGCACGACAAATTCCACAACAACAAAACTATGCACGGTCCCTTAAAGGTGGTGTAATTTTCTCCTTTTCCATTTTATAACGTTTTAAGGATGTATTGGCTATACAGTCAATCCAAAATCCGAGAATATTTCCTTCTATACTTTTTAACACGTAGCTATTTATTATTAGCATTATTCTTCCGACGTCTGATTTCTTTTTAATTATAGGAAATGCGTTTTTCTAAGGTACATAAACTTTTGGGATTGACTGTATAGCCAATACATCCTTAAGACAGCATTGAGGTTTTCATTTATCTATTTGGTCAGACCTTTTTGTTTCTCCTTTTAGAAATGTGAATCGTAGATGTACTAGTAGGATCTGTTTACTTTTTCTTCTCGGTGCTTTCTTTATCTCCGTTAACCCGTTTGCTTACCTCGGCTCTTACTTAACGTGTCACTTTACACAGGTAGCCGGACACACTGCAACCTTGGTGCAGAATTACGAGAAAAAAGAGAAGATGGTTGTAATATTTGGTTACTCGCCGCAGTACGGCTACCTGAACGTGGTTCAAGAATATTCTCTGGGTACTCGCGAGTGGCAGATCGTGGATACAATCGGTTTCCCGGTAAAAGGCGGATACGGACATACTTCCGCTTACGATCCGTTGACGAGTCTGATTTACGTTTACGGAGGATACATTTCCGAGTCGCAGAGCTCCCAAGTGTTTACCAATAGACTCTACTCGTACCATCCTAACAATCACGAGTGGAGATTGCTAACGTCCGCCCCAGTCGCTGGTTTCTTCCACACAGCCGTGTTCGTTTCTAGCGGTATGATGATTGTTTTTGGTGGTAATATGCACAATAATACGCAGCATTCCGACGAGGTCAGATGTCACTCGGACATGTTCGCGTACGACGTCACTTGCGACTCGTGGCACCAGTTTCCTATGCCCAAAGAGGTGATCGAGCTGCCCAGGTACGGGCACAGCGCTACTGTGTTCGAAAAGTCAATGTACATATACGGGGGTTTTAATGGACAAATGTTATCTGACATGTTCAGGTGTGTTCCTTTTCTGTTCGCGTGGCATATTATTATTGCCTCTAAATCATAATGAAATAATACAAAATTTTTCTTTGGTCGCGGGTACTAGGTTCACGCCAGGGAATTGCGAACATTTGACGAACCACAGTCTGTGTTTGAACTCGAGGACAGGTGTTAAGTGCGTGTGGAACAAACGCGAGAATCGGTGTGTACAGATCACCAAGATATCTCAGCACGTGTTACAGAACGACGATATGCACGACGGTAATTACATGAGATGCTTGGACGAAACTCCGCCGCGCGGAATGACGTCTCACAAAGAATTGTGCAAGTTGCTTATGGACTGCGTGGCGTGTGTGCAAACGTCGTACAATTGCGTGTGGTGCGGCAAGAGTTGCGCGCACGAGATCTGCCGAGACAACGTCAATTCGCCGCCGACCAAGGCTGTCAAGATGCTGGGCCAATGCGATGCACACACAGGCATCGAGTGTCTGCAGTTGCACACGTGTCACGCATGCACCAGCAACCCGTACTGCATGTGGTCCTGGTCGAACGGACCCGATCGGTGCAAACCTCATTCGAAAGTTCGCGATGTAAGTACAGAACGGAAGTGAAAAATTTACGAGAAGAATGAGCCGATCAATTTATTTTCACAGCAACAGATGACAATTCTGAACGGAACTATCCAAGCGCAGAGGCTGACCATAGAACGAGACTGTCGCACTCCCTGTGTGGATTACACTTCTTGTAAAAATTGCACGGTGTCTGAGTGCATATGGTGTCAGGACGAGAAGAAGTGCGTGGACAAAAATGTGTATCCTGTGAGCTTTCCTTATGGACAGTGTCGTGAATGGACTTCCACGGACGCGAAATGTCGGCCCACGGAAACGGGGAAAGAATGGTGTACGTTTTATTTGTCTTGCGCGGCCTGTCGTTCGGATCCTGGTTGTGGATGGTGCGACGATGGTTCTGGGACTGGAAAAGGGTTGTGTTTGTCAGGAGGAGCCCGCGGTCCGAGCAGTAAAAGCACGGACACTTGCCCGTATGAACGATGGTACTTTACCAAATGTCCCAGTAAGTAAACTGTTATGAAGTTGGATTATTTGATTAATTTTTTTTAAATGATTCGAATTAAATATCAAGTCCGCTACTGTAAAAGTAGGACGCGAAGAATGCGTAATTTATGCTTTCTAAACGAACATTTCAGCTTGCCAGTGTAATGGCCACAGCAAATGTCTTTCGAACAGCAGTATATGTATTCAGCCTTGTGGTAATTTGACTTACGGACCTCATTGCGATAAATGTATACCTGGATATTATGGAAGTCCCTTGAACGGAGCCACTTGCCAACGTAAGTTCATTCTATCGATTGCAATATCGTTAAATGACAATGAGCCATTCGCCGTTAAATTACATTTCTTCTGTTACAGCCTGCTTTTGCAATAACCAAGGCACGCAGTGCACCAGCGAAACGGGTAAATGTTTTTGTACAACGAAAGGTATTATCGGCGATCATTGTGAACGATGCGACGTGTCCAGCATGTACCATGGAGATCCGACGAATAAGGGATCGTGTTTTTGTAAGTACCTTTCTCGACTACGTCTTCGCAGGATGTAAGAAGAAATGTATGTTTAAATTTAAATTTGACATTTTTCTTCTCAGATGATTTGGCGATCGACTATCAGTTTACGTTCAATTTAAGTAAGAAAGAGGACCGACAGTACAGAGCAATTAATTTCAAGAATTCCCCACCGAAACCTGATATCGACGCCGAGTTTTCGATTACTTGTTCCGTTTTATCAAAAATGAATATCACTGCAAAGAGGGGCAACGCGCCGGAGGTACCGCTTATTCTGGGCGCGAATTGCACGACCACCATGTACAAGCACCGTTTCATAAAAGACGGTTACGGTTTCGGTAGCGAGAACAACAACACGTTGACCACGTTCTACGTTTATGTGTACGACTTTCAACCGCCGGTGTGGATTCAGATATCGTTCTCTCAATATTCCAAACTCAACCTGCAGCAATTCTTTATAACATTTTGCACGTGAGTATTCGAAACATTGTATCAAACTGAATGACACACGTAGATAAACGCATTGACGTGCATGCAGATATATGTATTTAATTCCAACGAAGTTAAAAACATTGTGTGCTTTTGTTTATCAATGTTTTCAAAATTTTCCGCGGTTTTGTGTTACTCTAAGCCTGAGGCAGTATTTACTTGTAAACTAGAGATTACATGCCTAGGTGCTTCCTCGCTCTGCTGCTGGTGGCTGCTATCCTGTGGAAGATCAAACAGAAGTACGATATGTACAGAAGGCGGCAGAGATTGTTCGTAGAAATGGAACAGATGGCCAGTAGAGCGTTCAGCCAGGTTTTGGTGGAGATCGAGAGGCGGGATGTTGAGAATTCCGATTCGGAGCGGAACGAGTCTGAGCCAACGAATTGCCGCAAGAAGAAGAAGGTGTGTATCAATATCTAAAGTAAAATACTCCGTAAGAATTAGCTTATTTCTCTTCTGTCCGAGTTGGTACTATCTGCTTCAAAAATATTTACAGGATGCCCCTAGTCCGATCGCGCTGGAGCCCTGTTGCGGTAACAGAGCAGCGGTCCTATCGTTGCTAGTCAGACTACCTACCGGCGGTGAACCGTACACGCCGGCCGGTATGAGCGCCGGCTTGGCTGTAGCGTCTGCTTTAGTTACATTGGGTAGCCCGCGAAGGCCGTCTCAGGAATTGACTACGAAGGAGCCGACGAAGACACGTAAATCTGCCAGTCAACATCCCGACTCCACATGCATTTAGCGATAAGAACGACAAAAAACAGCGGACAAAGTTAAAGGGAAAGAAAGACACATTTAAACGCCGGTGGGTGACTATATATGAGCCTTAGACATATTTCTGTGATCTTGCCTTAGCGAAACGGGGCAGGACTTGTTCAAACGGTTGATAACTCTTCGAACTCTTACCGAGTGAAGTGTGTGATTTTTTATCATTTCAATTTCAAATTTTTTTCAATGTTTGACTTCCGGACGAGCGTATCTTCCCTGAGAATTTCTCATTCGTTATACTCAACGAGTTAGCTAAGTGGTTCGAAGATTTCGGATTATTATGCTGCATTCTGCCGATTTTCGTGGTAAGTAACATTAAAGTTTGCCGGTAATTTTCGGTTGGTTGACTGTCAATCTTATTATTCTCCGATTTCTTTCGTTCACACGTGACAATGTACAGTGTTGTATATAGATCTGTTAGACGGTATAATATTTTCGTTTATCTGTCACGATTTTAATGAAATCGAATTCGTCCTACAATCGGCGAAGAATTTTTGAAGCAGCGGCACTGTAAACGAGCGTTCTTTTTCTCCTCGTTTGATTTTTCGCGCGCCATTCGAGTTCTCGTACAGCGCCGAGTGCGCCGACGTTTGCGCAAATTTCGACCAGCGGTCGTTAAACAATGGCGGGATACGGAGTAAAGTGTGTGTGCCGGAAAATTAGATTTGCCAGTCGCAGTACGAACGTAACATTCATTCTTCGTTTTGTAAAGTTTTTGTAAATATGTGTGTGACTGTATAATCCGAAGAAATTGCATAACGCAGGAAGAAATCTGTACAGATGTGAATCAGTTCGAAGGAAAGAGAGTCGAGAGACTGAGAGCGAGTGACAAAGGACTAATATCGTTTTGATTGTGCATTCGTTCATCGTAAGTTGTAAACGTTTAATTCTAAATTTACGGAAATGAATAGAGACGCGTCGATTTTTCCGATCGTGTCATCCTCATGTGATCTTCGTATTTGATATATACATATCTTGTGCCAAACGACTTTTCATCATTGCTGAAAGAAATGAATTCAGAGCATCGTCATCGAGTATTTGTCTACGAATCTGTCCGAAAACGACTATGTATTTACAAAACGATGAAACATAGATGTAAATTTTTTCTTCGTTGTCTCGTCTCTATCCATTTCCATAAGAGAAGTTGTGCTACATGCTCGAAAGTTACCAGTCAACTAACAAAACATTTCGATTGAGGATTTCTTTTCTAATGTAATGGCGTACTTTCGTCCGCGTAGCGCATCGACGTAATTTTACTGTATTAATGAAGTTAGAGGAAAAAAATAAGTATGTGGACGTTGCAATAAGTTACGGATCGCGATAATTCTTATTTGATTTTCGTTTCGTTGAAAGAACAGCGGTGCTGGTTATTTCATGTACCACGCAAAATTTCATATATCGAATCGAATTGAAATGAGAAAGAAAAGACAAACGGACGTATACATTTTAAACGTGGCTGTGGTTAATTTTTCACTTGCGTTGTTGCTCATTTATGCGTTGTTTGCATAACCGATAAACGACACGGCTGCTTCCTTTGCGAAATTTAACATTGATCTCACTTTTTTTTTACTTACCCGAGTTACGAAAACAGCTCTGATCATGAAATATGTATCGTAATAATGTGTTCCACGAAACGAGGCAAGAAACCTTCCCACGTTACGCAGCTCAAAAAAGATTTTTAAAGTTCAAACCTCCAGCACTTAGCATACAAACAGAATTTCCCGTATGAAACGAGGATTACCTATTTCAATTTTGCAAACGACTGTCGTTTTTAGTGCGCGCGAAGAACCGTCTGTCACGCTGCTCAAAATAATTAGACGATCTTCTGCTCGTCAAATGAACTAAGCGTCCCAAATAAAGGAAAACCCATTTTGTATGTTCTCTATCAATTTTCTTTTTTATTTATGTACAATACGACCAGCTCTTCCAATTTATTATGTCCCACATTCGAGCAGACAGTCTTGTAATTATTTTGATGATCAGCGTAAAACTCACCGAAGGCATCGCCGTAGTTTTTAAATTTTCGTTCGAAAAAGAAAAACGTGAGCGACGTAGGGGTCTTTCCTTTTTCTCTCTCTGTTTTTTAATCATTGTGTACAGCACGGATCGAGTGCAATGCATTTTGTTTTTACCATGTAATACTCATCGAGTTTCTTCAATTCTATTTTTTGTGAGGGTGCAACCGGCGCGTCAGTTAGCCACAAAGTTACCGTAAGGCATCACGATCCACCTAAGAAGAACGAAAGAGTTATTTATTCTTGTCCTTTAATCGCGTCCTGGTTGCATCCGCTTAGAACGTAGTGTACATTTTATTACCGTAAAAATAATTTAATTTTTTATACAGCTGTTTTATTTTTATTTGTTTTTTTTTTTTCTTCTTAACTGAACGACAGGTTTATTGTCCTGTTACCTTCTTTCTTCTTAAACGCGAATTTTTATTGTCCTTCGGGCGAGAATTTATAATTACGTGTACATATTGAATCGAGTATAAATGTTATGTTGTATTTAATAACGAAGAATAGGCGTACATTGGATAAATTGCTCAACTCTTGAGTAGGCATTCACTTTTCCATCGCTTTCAAAGATTATTTTATAAGTCTTTATGCAGGTATTTTTCTTCCGAGAATGATTTTTGTCCAAATAGTTGGGTTCAGTCGTACAGGGAAAGCATTTAATGCAACTGAAAGCGATTTTTTAAGAACATTATTGGAGGACGATGTTCAGTTTTCGATTACCGGTATTCCTCGTCCTTTCTTCTCCTCTCTTTTTATCTGTTGCATTTCTCGAGTCTTGATACTGCCAACTTTTATCGGTCCCTACCTGATTTCCATAATCTATCTGTCTTCGAGTGTAGACGATTAGCAGATCCACTTGATCGTTTGAAACCCCTTGCTGCTTGCATTTTAGCGTTTTAACGAATCTCAGTGGTTGAAAGTTTCATAGGTACTTGGCATCAGCTCCCGAGCACCCACCAAACTTTCCAACTTTGTTTCATAATGTTTCATTACAACGTTTGGGTCTACGGTTGGCACCAAATTACTTGGCAGACCTCTTATCTTGAAATTCTCTCTCTTCGCAGTCTGAGAGAATCTTAACACTTTCACGGCTGTCTCTCCGGTTCTCTTTAAAAAACTTTCCTCATTTCGAGGTGAAACGAGCTTTTAGCATTAAAATAAAATAAACGGAACAACGACTTTCTTTACAAGTTCCTCAAAATTGGGACGATTTTTTAAAGAAACCGCGGAAGAAGCTGGATAAGGAAAGTTGAACGTACAGCACAAATCATACTTTGTACTTTTGATTTTTAAATCATTAGTTATGAAAAATGTTCGAATGCAGAGGATGAGGAAGTTAGTATTAAAAATTGGAGTTCGTAGAATATCTCCAAGCAGCACGGGGTTAATTGGACCCTAAACCAGAATGGAATCGCACACCATTGTTGTTCATACACGAGTCGCGTATGTTGGGATCACATGATGAAATCCATCGATCCTCTACCTGCGATTGACCCATGCTCCTTTAATTCGTCCAAGGAATTAAGAAAGAACTGTAGACAAAAGTGATCTAGAGGAAGAGAACGCGTGGAAGGGAGAGGGCGGAATAAATAATAAACGCGAGGGAACGTTCTCTGGTCAATAAGTCAACATTCAGTCATAGTCTATGTAAACTAGACCAGGTAGATCATTAGTTCGTAAGCATAGGCGATTATAGTGTTGGATGTACATAGAATAACCACCGTGTTTCCTGAACGTTTTTGAGATCCATCGAAATTAGCAACAGATATCGTTTGTCTTCAGGCTAAAACGTATCGCGTTGATTCTTGGCCAAAGGAGACGTGAACTTTATAATTGAATTCTTATTATCGAAGGAACAGAAGGAAACTATTTAGATTTACGCGCCCGCTGTGGAGATGAAATTTATTCTTAGGACCTCGGATATTGAAAATTTCTAGAGTTAATCTGATAAAACGTTTGAGTTGGAGTGCCTCTCAAAATATCCAAAGGCTCTCAAGGAACACGTGACGACTGCTCAAGTATCCAGGCCCTGATTTAAACGCGGAACGATTTAGAATTGAGAAGTGAAATAAGGATTACGTAACTACAACCAGATGATTAATCACGAAACAGAGGAACCCGTTTGCTGTTATTATATTCCATTGTTTCTTCCCTTTTGTTCTTTTTAAACATTATCGATGATACTTGAATTCGTGAACTCGCGTACATCGTCACGAACGGGCCAGGCCGGTCGTTTAACGTTTAAGAATACTTAACGTAATCCATAAGTATATTAGGTAGGTATTATAATAACGAGTATAGCTTGCAACAACAATTTTTCTAGGAAACACAATCGAAAATATTTATTTTTATTCAAGCGTTAAGCGTTAAGGGTACTCTTTGATAAAACGAGAAAAAAAAATGATAGTTAATGAGAACGATGAAATAACATTATTATAAAAATGAGTGACAGGAAGAGAGAGTGAGAGGAAAACACATGTGTCGCCCTGATCTTCTGCGTGTATACAATTCTCTCGAAACTGTACACAGTACAGCACACATAAATTGTTACATTCGACTCATCTGCATATGTGTGTTTATATGTATATGTATGTTATACGTACGATAATTTAGCCAGTGATGCAGATTGTATGGAGGATGTTATCATTGCCTTGTTGTCACGGTTCTCCTTAATGTCATCTGTCAGGGAAACAGGAAGCGGTTCAATTGTCAGAGTTCAGGGTCTCCCAGCCGTCGCAAGTAGTTATCACCCGTCACTGATCAGACTGAACTTCACTGATTGCGAGCAATACACTACTGGTAGAAATGACGTAGTCGTACAGACGAAAAGACTTGCCCCACAAATTTTTATACCCGAAGACTTCCTATCTTCTCTTAGTTTTATTTCGTGTCAAAGTCCCGTCTTTTTTGTCTCTTTGAAACATAATGTTACCAGTGACGTGAAATTTCCAAGTTCTTCGTTGAACCTCGTTTTGATACACATATATAAGTAATGGTGAATCGCTTTGCGTTCGAAGTTGACGAGCATTATTTCCGTGTGTCGTATTACAGCGGTCGATCAATTCCCTCTTCGTTTTTTACTTGCTTTATATCACGAACGGTCATAGAATAGTTATTTCGGCCGGTATGTAAAGAAGCTAAAGAGAGACTTGTCTTTTATCGATTACTGACGACCTATTCGGTACACTATGTATTCTTGAGACACGGGAGACCTCGTGGAAATCGAGAATGGAACACAGCGCGGCTCAATTACGATACTTTTTGAAAGACTGGCAAGTGGGGTGTTTCCAAATTAGCTAGGGTGACGAGAATGGGGCTGAATTAAGTAGAAAAAAAGTGGAGAGAGTGTGTACGTGTGAAAGGATTTCTTAAATTATGCTCGTATTTTTATGCTAGAGATTTAACGAAGAAGAGGAGGGGAGGGAGGACAAAAATCTGAGAGAATAAAATATGCACGGTTTGATAGATTATTAGCATGAGCGACGTGAGCATGAATAGCGGAGCGGAACAAGATGTATTGTATTATACTAAATGAGACGGATATTGTTTAAATAAAATTGATATACATAAAGTTTCCACTGTGATTTTTGACATAATTCATAAGCGTTAAATACGATATTTTAATTTACGACCGTTTCATAATTTAAAGAGCTCTTAATAGCTTTTGACGGGTTCAACCTGTACATTAAAGAAAGTTTAACCGGAGCACCTAAAACGTGTGAGGAAAGGGTTTTGATAAAATACAGCATGTAATTCAGAGAACAGGATATTAAGCCATCCGCGGCAGAGTGCCAGTAAAACAGGTAGCCACCCTCTCGAAAGGGTGCAGTCGTTGACGAAGATAGTTTGCACTTCCTGTCTTATCTCTTACCTTTCACCCTGTGACAGTTTTCATTCCGCAAATAGACCTGTCTCCACGACACGAATCAAATTATACCGGAAATGAACGTTGTTACACCAGTCGAATTAACCGGAACCGAATTAAGAGGAACTGTACCTTTTCTCTCCTTTTCTGTTAGTTACGAGTCAGAAAAAGAATAACGATTGAATAGGTAGTCTTTATAGAAGCAACCGATTCCACTTCCGTGCGAAAAGCGAATTTCCGGATATTGCTTGCTCAGCGGTTCGTGGCTGTACGTTCTAAAGGTAGCAAAAATATTTGACCTCGAATACATTTCAACTTTTGCACTTTAATATCGTTTATAATTCTTCGCGTAGCCTCTTTTTCAATGATATAGGAATACTATTACAGATAATGAATTATTAAAAAAATCTGTTCATCGAACTCGATTTGTTTCTCATTTATTTATTATTGAATTAATCTCGACGTGTGTAATTAATTAATTTCAAGAGAGCAGCTTTTGTTCGCAACGGAGAGGGAGTCGGATCGAATCGGTTCGTAACAATTATTCGCGAAGTCTCGAAGATATCACGGCGAACTAACTCGAACATGCCAGGTATCAGGCGCAATGGTTTACCTAGCAAACAGGCAGCAGCAGTTTCCAGTTCTCGAACGGCACGCAAACTCGCAGATGATCCGCGATGCCGCGAAATTCTCGTAATTAGAATCTGCGAATGCCCGCCATCGCGCCGGTAATTGCGGTGAACACTTCGCAGAAACGAATCAAATAATCTCTGGTTTAATAGTTAACGAACAAAGTGCGATACTGATATCGCGTTTCATTGCTTCTATAAAAAATTTTACTTCGCGTTTACAATTGTCATTTACTTTATGCAACGGGTTACATTATGCACAAATGAAAAGGCGAGAGAACTTTAGTTATTACTTGCGGTACAATGTTATTCACCCCCCCCAACAGATTTATGATCTTGATTACGCGTTCTCGCATCTGTTGCATTATTATATTCATTCTCTCGTTACGGTACAATGGACGTCCGGGAAAATAGCTGGCTGCCCGAGACCGAGATTATCGAATTAATCGGATGTCGTTCACAAAAGAAAGTCCATTTATACTCGCGGAACAAGTTCAGCCGATAAATCCTCCGGTCCATTATGCACACCACGTTATCATAATCTTGTAACCCTACCGTTCTTCACGGAGATAATGCACGATACGCGGGATCGATCGCTCGTAATCCGAGGTATTCAACGTGTAATGCATTCCGGTGAGAAAATGTAACGGTGACGAAGTAAAACGCGATACGACTAGGGCAACCGAACTAAATTTTATTCCCATCAATTTTATTAGAACCCACGACTATTTCTATGATTTCACATCGTTCTGAATAAATTCGTATCGCATTGTTCCACGTGAACAGACCCACCATTTTATTTTCCGTACAATCGGCCGTTTTTACACGGTTTTTCCAATCGATGCGCAACGGGAGAACGGGATGAAAGCTGTATAAATATTTACATTGTTCCGGAAACAATATCGACGATAAAAAAGACTGAAGAATGAATAGTGAGATGAAAATTAAAAAGGAAACCGTTGCATGTAGGCGATGCGATGTGCTGTATATACGTACATATTCACGTAGATATACGAGTTTGCGAATCATTTTTCCTCTATTTTTTAGCTCTATCTATTTGTCTTCGTTAATGCGTTTCACAATTTCACGGTATCAGGTTGTAGTTTGCGGTGGAAAATTCGAATAAAAGTTATTCCTCACTGGGAAGCATTCGAGCTTCTGTTCCCTCGAGAAAAATGCCACCCCGTTATAAAGTTATGCACATTGAAAGCTCTTTTATTCATTTTCTATCCTTGTCGTAGAACGTTGCGAAAGAGAAATAGAAATAATATTTATGCTTTTACTAGCAGTCCGAAATTGTTCCAACTACAGAACTCAATCTGCCTCGTTCCCGATTAATCAGCGAAGCAATCTTCCAATATTCAATACGTTTTTCCAATCCAGTTTTCCTGCTACTTTTCATTTCTCTGCTCTCATCCCGCTATCCGATACGTTTCTACGACGGTGAACTCGAAATTAAATTATCTACCACCATTATTATTAATTTGCTCGCATCGATTTTATTTTACAACGACATTACAGATATTTTTTAATTTACTTGTCTAATGAAAATTTAAACGAATCGCATGGAGAGACGTTACGTTGTTAGCGAAATTTTTCGCGATAAATCGACGCCTTTAGCGAATTGTTTTAATACTAAATCACTGATCGTGTGCAGCTGCTCGGTTCTCAGGATCAGATAAACGGATTCGCATAATTACTGCGCGGGACACTTCTGTCTCTCCTCCCATGTGTCCGCTCCCGATTTTAATATATTCATGCTGTATGCACGCCTCTTTCTCGAATCGCGACTGATTTAATTATCGCAACGATGTTTCATGCTGCGTACCGAGTGAATCTGAAATTCTCCTACGAAACATTGGTCGTATTATATAATATAATACGAACGTAAAGTCGCTTGAATGAGTAATTTCTTGTTTATGTACAAAGATAGTACGTAATTCATATAATTTTGTTTCGAAGGACAAAACAATAAAAGACGGACAAGTGATAGGGAGTACGTGCTTGAATACGACACTTTGTGTATGTTTGTGGTCAACAGCGAGTGGGG